CGGGTACCCAGCTGCGAGCAGCTGCCTCGTGGAGGGGCCCTCGCTCTGCCAGAGCCTCCGGCTGGTGGCAGGCAGGAGGGCGGGGCGGGCGGGCGGCCACCCCAGGGCAGGTTCACAGGCCACAGCCAGGAGGCTCGTGAGTTCACTGCCCACAGAGACACAAAGTTAAAAAATTAAAACAAAGACTGGGAAGGCCCTGGGGCCTCTCCTGACAGCTGCTCCAGGGCTCCCCAGCCTGGGCCTCTCACCAAGTGCAAGAAGCCACCCTGTCTGCATCTCCACCCCCTGCTCCACTCAGCACGGCCTGTCCCAAGGTCATCTACTCCACAGAGGCCCCCGGCCGCCCTGGCAGGGGCCCTGCAGCCCACGGCACCTGTGACCGAGCCACCGGCCTGGCCTCCAAAACCAGGCTGAGCATGCACAGCGCCTGCAGGGTGGGGGGGTCCTGTGGTCCTGGGAAGGGGCTGAGGATAAGCCGCCTCGAGCCAGTTTCCTGGAACTTCAAGGTGTTTTATGAGATGCTTTCCGGAGGAGGAACATTCTAGAAACATGGACAGAGGCTCCGACACACGTTCTCCACGGAGCACTCCTGCTGGCGGCTCCCTCAGTGGACCCACCAGCCACCTCTGTGCCCTCTGCCAGGCCCAGGCCAGGCCCTGAGTGTCCCTGCAGCTCCCTCGTCCCTCACACTCACGTCACGGCCACCCTGACCGGCTCCTCATGCTGAGACATCACAAGCACTTTGCACAGAAAGCCTCTTTGTTCAGACTAACAGCTCAGCTGGATGAGCTCAGCAAAAGCCAGAGAAGCAACTCGCCTGCAGGAAGGGGTCTCCCGGGAGCCACACCCGGACTGCCTGCAGCCCACACACAGGACAGGTTCCCAGGGGGCAGGGCGGGGGCCGGGCAGGGGCACTCCGCTGCCTGGGAGTGAGCTGCTCCTTGCTGGGTCTTCCTTGTGCTCTCACTTCCTGCAGAGCCAGGGAGCTCCGAGTTTGACCGGAAATCTCCCTTCCGTTTCCAGTTTCCTCGGATTTCGCCGACTTTAGCCCTGGACACACACAGCCAGACCAGCCACAGGGCAGCGTCCTATGACAGCCGCTGTGTGCTCTTGCCTCGTCTGCCACCGCAGGCCTGAGGCGTGGGACCAGGCGAGACGTAAACCAGAACAAAGGACGTTCAGGCTGTGTCTGTGATAAAGCCTGCGGCCTGCACGCCCACGTGTGCTGAGCACAGCTAAAGGTCACCCGAAGGACGTGTGTGCACGCCTGTGAGCTCAGCTAAAGATCACCCAAAGGACATGTGTGCATGCCTGTGAGCACAGCTAACAGATCACCTGAATAGCATGTGTGCACGCCTGTGAGCACAGCTAACAGATCACCCGAAGGACATGTGTGCACGCCTGTGAGCACAGCTAAAGGTCACCCGAAGGACGTGTGTGCACGCCTGTGAGCACAGCTTACAGATCACCCGAAGGACGTGTGTGCACGCCTGTGAGCACAGCTAAAGGTCACCCGAAGGACATGTGTGCACGCATGTGAGCTCAGCTAAAGGTCACCCAAAGGACGTGTGTGCACGCCTGTGAGCACAGCTAACAGATCACCCGAATGGCATGTGTGCACACCTGTGAGCTCAGCTAAAGGTCACCCGAATGGCGTGTGTGCACGCCTGTGAGCACAGATAAAGGTCACCCAAAGGACGTGTGTGCACGCCTGTGAGCACAGATAAAGGTCACCCGAAGGACGTGTGTGCACGCCTGTGAGCACAGCTTACAGATCACCCGAAGGACGTGTGTGCACGCCTGTGAGCACAGCTAAAGGTCACCCAAGGACGTGTGTGCACGCATGTGAGCTCAGCTAAAGGTCACCTGAAGGACGTGTCTTCTCACATGTGAGCTCAGCTAAAAGTCACCCTAAGGACGTGTGTGCATGCATGTGAGCACAGCTAACAGATCACCCGAAGGACGTGTGTGCGCGCGCCTGTGAGCACAGCTAAAGGTCACCCAAAGGACGTGTGTGCACGCATGTGAGCACAGCTAAAGGTCACCCGAATGGTGTATGTGCACGCCTGTGAGCACAGATAAAGGTCACCCGAAGGACGTGTGTGCACGCCTGTGAGCACAGATAAAGGTCACCCAAAGGATGTGTGTGCACGCCTGTGAGCACAGCTAAAGGTCACCCGAATGGCATGTGTGCACGCCTGTGAGCACAGCTAAAGGTCACCCAAAGGACGTGTGTGCACGCCTGTGAGCACAGCTAAAGGTCACCCACCAAATGGCGTGTGTGCACGCCTGTGAGCACAGATAAAGGTCACCCAAGGACGTGTGTGCACGCCTGTGAGCACAGCTAAAGGTCACCCGAATGGCGTGTGTGCACGCCTGTGAGCACAGATAAAGGTCACCCAAGGACGTGTGTGCACGCCTGTGAGCACAGCTAAAGGTCACCCGAATGGCGTGTGTGCACGCCTGTGAGCACAGATAAAGGTCACCCGAAGGATGTGTGTGCACGCATGTGAGCACAGCTAAAGGTCACCCAAGGACGTGTGTGCACGCCTGTGAGCACAGCTTACAGATCAGCCCAAGGACGTGTGTGCACGCATGTGATCACAGCTACCCGTGTTTCTCCAAAAATAAGACATCCTCCAAAAATAAGACCTAGCGCATGGAAAAATAAGACATCCCCTGAATAGATCTAGCGCATCTTTGGGAGCAAAAATTAATATAAGACACTGTCTTATTTTAGGGGAAACAGGGTAACAGATCACCCGAAGGATGTGTGTGCACGCATGTGAGCACACCAATGGGCACAGACACTGGGGGAGGGAGGATGGCATGTGCCAGGGGGAGGGGAGGCTAGGGGAAGGTCAATGGGGAAAAAAGGAGACATGTACTATTTGTAATACTTTAAACAATAAAATTAAATTAAAAATAAAAAATAAAGGCACATCACTCCAGCCTCCACCTTAAGTCTCAGTCTCCAACCCCACGCCACGGGCCCGCCCACGCCATGGCCCCGCCCACGCCACGGGCCCCGCCCATACCAAAGCTCCGCCCCGCCCATGCTGTAAGCCCCGCCCATGCAGGCCCCGCCCACAGCCGTCTCCATGGACCCCTTTCCTGGCTCAGACTGATGGGCACTGACCAGGGAACACAACACGCACTTAATCTAGGGCTTTTCTCCTGGAAAACCAGCAGCTCTGGCACCTACAATCATCCTCACTCCCCACGGGCTCATCCCAGGGAGCTCACTATGAGGCTGAAACATAGGAATTTGCCTTCTTTGTGGGTCACAGAGCGATCTGCCATTTGCAGTCCCACATGGCCCACCTTCACGGCTGTCTCACCTCTGGAAAGGGGACGGCAGCCGCTGCTCGGAGTGAGTCACCCTGATAGCAGGGCCCATCGGTAACGGTGCCACAAGCAGCAAGCCCTGAACGTGGTGAGACTGCTCCTCCCAGGTCCATCCAACAGCCAGCCAATCAGAGCCTCAGGGCTGACTCCGTTCAACAGCCAGCCAATCAGAGCCTCGTGGGTTGACTCTGTTCACTACAGCCAGCCAATCAGAGCCTTGAGGGCTGACTCAATTCGCACAGCCAACCAATCAGAGCCTTGAGGGCTGACTCCATTCACACAGCCAGCCAATCAGAGCCTCGTGGGTTGACTCTGTTCACTACAGCCAGCCAATCAGAGCCTTGAGGGCTGACTCCATTCACACAGCCAACCAATCAGAGCCTCGTGGGCTGGCTCCATTCAACAGCCAGCCAATCAGAGCCTCGTGGGCTGGCTCCGTTCACACAGCCAGCCAATCAGAGCCTCCGGCGTTGACCAGCGCTGATGGCAGCTATTGAACAGACTGAAGACCAGGTGAAGCTGCCTGACCACGGCCCTGCTCTCTTCCCACATCGCCTGCTGTCTGCCCGTCAGAGCGGTTTGGGTCAGACTGGTGACCCCCGGGCAGGTTCCGACCCCACAGCCTCGCGATGACCCATGGACACGCAGGAGGCAGGAGGCCTGGGGCCGGAGCGGGCCTGGGGTGGGCGCTCCGATCTCTCCAAACCCGGAGCTGCCCGCCACCGGCGGGACGGGTTAGGGTCCTGGGCCGCGCTCAGTGGTGGCTTCACATAGGGCACATGATTAGGCCCTTGGTGTCGGGGTTTAGGGTATTTGGCCACTGTCCCCTCTAGCTCTCCTTTGCCAGCCCGTCCCTTCGGGGCCTGTGTCTGTGCGGTGGGCTTATTTATGTTTTCTCCCAGTGCCCCTGAGGTTAGGTAAGGCTTCCCTCTGTTTTGCTCAGTTCCCAGCACTTAATAGGCTCTCCGTAAATATTTACCGAGGAAATGAAAACAGGGTGACTCTGCAGGCTGAGGCAGGAAATGGAACGTGGGCGTCCGTGAGGCAGATGCGAGCCGCGTCCCCTCACCTCTCGGGCAGCAACGTCCACACCACCACAGGGTGAACCCAGACCACAGCCGGACCACGCTGCAGGCTGAGTAACAGCCCCCGGATACGAGTCCTAACCCGTGACCCTGCCTCACCAACAAGATGGACTCCGCTGTGCCATCAAGCCAAGGGTTCGAGATGGAGGCGGTTCCTGGATGTTCGAGATGGCCCCAGTGTAATCACGGGGCCCTGGAGGGGAGACAGACGGGGGCACGGACAGAGAGGAGGGGGTGATGTAGGACGGTGGTGAAGATGGAGGAGGGGCCGCCAGCCCAGCGCCTGGGGGATGGCATCTCTAGAAACTGGAAAGGGCCAGCCTGATCCCAGCCCCGAGGCTCCGGCCGTGAAACGACCTGGGACCTCCAGACTCTGAGAGGACAGGTGTGCCTCAGCCAGGAGGGGGCATCACAGCAGCCGTGGGGACGGAAGCAGGCAGAGAACACCATCTCTGCAGCAGCCTCAGCCTCAGAAACGGTGTGGCTTTGTCCGGCAGCACAGGCACCGCTCTGCAGGCCCGTTCGGGCTTTTTTATAAATATACTAGAGGCCCGGTGCACAACATTCATGCACGGGGAGGGTCCCTGGGCCTGACTGCAATCAGCCAATCGTGCTTCTGGCAGCTGGCTGGGGCCTCCCTTCCCCGGCTGCCAGCTGCCACCCAGGGTCTCCCTCTGTTCCACGCCGCCCCCTGGTGGTTAGCACATGTCATAGCGAGTGATAGAACTCCTGGTCTCCCAGCCCAACTCCTACAGGGATACTTGGCATATTGGCCTTTTATAGAGAGATAGAGATGGAGATAGAGATGGAGATAGAGATAGAGATAGAGATAGAGAGATAGAGATAGAGATAGAGATAGAGATAGAGATAGAGATAGAGATAGAGATAGAGATAGAGATAGAGATGGTGATAGAGATAGAGATAGAGACAGAGACAGAGACAGAGATAGAGATAGAGATAGATATTGATATATAGAGATAGATATAGATATAGATACAGAGATATAGAGATAGAGGTAGAGATAGAGATAGAGATAGATAGATAGATAGATAGAGAGATAGAAATATAGATAGAGATAGATAGAGATGGAGATAGAGATAGAGATAGAGAGATATTGATATATAGATATAGATATAGATACAGAGATATAGGGATAAAGGTAGAGATAGAGATAGAGAAAGATTTTTATTCATTTCAGAGATGAAGGGAGAGAAACATCAATAATGAGAGAATCCTTGATCGGCTGCCTCCTGCATGCCTCCAACTGGGTGGGGATCAAGCTCACAACCCAGGCCTGTGCCCTTGACCAGAATCGTACCCGGGACCCTTCTGTCTGCAGGCCGATGCTCACAGAGCCACCCGGCGGGGCTGGGGGCTCCTTGCCGCTGAAACGGAGGCTCTGAGGGAAAGGCCCTGAGGACCCCGGTTCACAGGCATGGATGAGCACACGCAAAGCTCGCGCTGGAGGAAAGCCAGAGCGTGCTCAGCCGACCTCCGCCTCCAACGTCCACGATGCACTGGCTCTTTCATGCTCGGACATTCTGGGGAATGGGGAGCGGGGGGAGCCCCCAGAGGCCACACCGTCCCCACTCCTCCCATCTGTCTCCATCCCATCCCCCCTCCAGGGGCTGTTTCCGACAGGCCCTGCTGGGCGGCTGGAACGCCAGAGTCACAGACAGATGGAGGGCGTCGGCAGGCCCACGGCAGAGCCGGGCACGGAGCCATGGCACGGCCGGCCGGGCCCGGCAATCACGTCACATGTCACGTGTCACGTGTGCCCTCTCTTCAGAGCTCCTGCCCCCCTTTTCTCTCCCCTGGGCCTCACGATGGTTCCGGGGAGAGCAAAGCAGGTGCTATGGCTTCCTTTCTCAAGATGGAGAGACCGATGCCCGCCTGTCTCCTCCCTCAAGTGGATCCTTCTCAGGGGCTCTTTGGAAAGACGACTCCCGAATGCTCCCATGGGATGAGGTCCCAGCGTGGAACTCTTCCGTGTTTTTCTCATTGCTCCTCTTCACGCGACCGTTAAGACCAGAAACCCAAGAGTCACTCCTAGCTCTTGTGCCTCTGACTTGCCCCCAGCCCGTCCACAAGTCCTGTGGACTCTGCAGAGGACAGCTCTGCCTCACGCCTCCGGCCACCTGCCGACAGCCCTGCGGTCAAAACCTTCTCAAATCCAGCAGATTGTGCTGTCCACCCCCGCTCAGGTTTCTCATCGGCTGTCCGTGCCAGGCGGAGCCAGATGGGCACACGCACCCACAGACTCCCTGGGCGCAGCCAGACAAACCTCTCGGCCTCCCCTGTGCGCCCAACTAGCAGGTGGCCCAGGCCGACAGGAACCTGCTCAGCCGAGGCCCCAGCAGTGCCGCCCGTCCCTGGGCCTCCTCCCAGCCCCTCCTGCCGTCCGCGGGAAGGTCTGCTCCCTCATGGTGTGGATGTTAGAGCCCACCTCCCTCTCCCCCTCGTTCCATCCCCACCGTCCACCCCCTGGAAGTCCCATCGGGCAGAGCCCACGTTTGCACACCTGGCTGCCGGGGCCTGTGCTCCAGGCCTGGCCTCACCTGGTGGAAAGAGGAGTGAGGGGTGGAGGGTGATGAACTTCTCAGATCCGTGCAACCACAACGGAACGCCAAGCACAGCAGGAGGAGCGAGTCTCTCCCGCCGACTGCAGGCCCCCACGGGGGAGCACAGGGGCCTGGTCTTGGGGTCTCTGCTCCCACCTTCCCAGCGAGACTCCAAGGAGCGAACAGCCAGCGAACGGTGGCCGAGGCCAGAGCCCACATGGCAGCTCCGAGCAGAGCTGGTGGCCCCGGGAGCCAGGCTGCTGGTCCGGGGCAGGAATCAGGGGTGAGCTGGTCTGTGGCCTGCCCGGCCAGGCGGCCGTGGCTGGCTCTCAGGCCGCAGCCCGGCTCCCTGTGCTCTGTGCCTGTGGTCAGTAAAGGCCTCCAAGTGCCCCTGGCAGAGGGGGGGGTCTGTACGGGGCCCCAGAGCCACGTCATGCTGGGAGACCCCTCAGACTGTCTCCCTGGGGCCGTTCCCCGGGGGCCTCTCTCTGGTGGGTCAGCTCTGTGTGGAGGCTGATCCCTGACTCGGTGGGACTCCTGGGGAAAGAAGCAGGCTGTGGCCTCATTCCCACCAGACGGACGTTCTCCTCAGAGCCTAGCCCAGCAGCGTGAAATATCAATTAAAACGTGATTGCCGCCCAGCCCATGAGGCTCTGTGGCTGAGCGTCTACCTAGGAACCAGGAGGTCAGGGTTCAGTTCCTGGTCAGGGCACAGGCCGGGCTGTGGGCTCCACCCCCGTGTGGGGCGTGCAGGAGGCGGCCGGTCCATGATTCTCTCTCATCAGGGATGTGTCCACCTCTCTCCCTCTCCCCTCCTCTCTGAGACCAATAAGAGACGTTTTTAAGTTGGTGTAAATTTGAGTGTGAAGACGGAGAGGGGACTGGTTTCTCCCCTGAGGAAAGGTTTGCTTGCTGAGCGCCCGGGCTCCCAGGGAAGAACGCTGCTGCCCCCTAGGGCTGAGGCAGGACCCAGGGCCCCTTCCAGCCCCGGGCTCTGACAGGGGGAGGGTGTGGAGTTAACTGAGGGACAGAGAAGGTTAACCTATGACCCCAGCCTCTCTAGTCAGACCTGTCTTCCTGCTCACACTTCTCTGGACCAGAGCAAGTCAAGGGCAGCTTGAGGTAAACTGTAAACCAAGGCAGTTCCTCTGTGTGTGTTTTAAACATGAAAGGTGCTGATGAGAGGGGGTGTGAGAGTGGAAGGAGGGCTTGGCCCACCGCCCCGCAGGTGCTGGAGAGGCTGGGCCTGGGCGGGAGGGGACAGGGTCCCGGAGAGAGTGTCCTAATGACAAAGAGGCTTCCCGTCCAGATCCAGCCTGTGCATCTGGAAGATCAGTGTTTACAAAGCTCAGGTCAAATATGTTATTTAAAACGGCCGGCCGTGTGGCTCCATGGTTGAGTGTCCACCTACGAACCAGGAGGTCACAGTTGGATTCCTGATCAGGGCACAGGCCCGGGTTGCGGGTTCAATCCCCAGTGAGGGCCTGCAGGAAGCGGCCGACCCACGATTCTCTCTCATTGATGTTTCTCTCTCTCCCTCTCTCCCTTCGTCTCTGAAATCAATAAAAGAAACTTCTTTTTAAAGTGGAGTCAGATTTCTCACAAGAGCAGCGTTTGAGTTGAAACCGGTTTGGCTCAGTGGATAGAGGGTCAGCCTGCAGACTGAGGGGTCCTGGGTTTGATTCCGGTCAGGGGCATGTGTCCTGGTTGCGGGCGTGTCTCCGGTGGGGGTGTGCAGGAGGCAGCTGGTTGATGTTTCTAACTCTCTATCCCTCTCCCTTCCTCTCTGTGAAAAATCAATAATGTATATATACAATTTTTTTTTTAAGAGCAGCGTTTGAGAAGGAAGCACTCAGCTCGGCGGAGGAAGTGGACGGAGGGGGCTGCTCCCCTCTGGCTCCTCCCGTCCAGCTTGGCATCCGGCTGCACCCCGTCCCCAGAGGCTCCCCAAGCGTGTGGGCGGCCTAATTACAGTAACTGTGGGGGCCGGCGTAGCCCGTATTCTGTGAGGAAGGCCGCGAGCGATGTACATAACCACCCTCATCATTGGTACCGCGCGGCCACGCCGCCCGACTGCTGGGCAGGGCGGACGGACGGGGCGGGGCCGCGGGCCTTTATATGCAGCTGTCAGCCCGGGCCGTCCACAGCCCCCCCGGCCTGGCGCTCCCTCGCCCGGCGCCATGTCGGACAGCGAGCGCGCGGCCGTGGTGCTGGACAGCGGGTCGGGCGTGTGCAAGGCGGGCTTCGGCGGGGACGCCGCGCCCCGGGCGGCGTTCCCCTGCGTGGTGGGGCGGCCCCGGCACCGGGGTGCGCTGGTGGGCATGGGGCAGAGGGACGCCTACGTGGGCGACGAGGCGCAGCGCCGGCGCGGAGTGCTGAGCCTGCGGCGCCCGGTGCGGCACGGCGTGGTCGCCGACTGGGCCGCCATGGAGCAGGTCTGGCACCACGCCTTCCACAGCGAGCTGCGCGTGGCCCCCGAGGAGCACCCCGTGCTGCTCACCGAGGCGCCCCTGAACCCCAGGGCCCACCGGGAGAGGATGGCCCAGATCATGTTCGAGGCCTTCGGCGCCCCGGCCGTGTACGTGGCGGTGCAGGCCGCGCTGTCGCTGTACGCCGCGGGCCGCACCACGGGCGTCGTCACCGACTGCGGGGACGGCGTCACCCACACCGTGCCCGTCTACGAGGGCTACGCCCTGCCCCACGCCGTCCAGCGCCTGGACCTGGCCGGCCGGGACCTCACCGACTACCTCGCCCAGCTCCTCAGGGAGCGCGGCCACGGCCTCTCCACCACGGCCGAGCGGGAGATCGTGCGGGACGCCAAGGAGCGGCTGTGCTACGTGGCGCTGGACTTCGAGCAGGAGACGGCCGGCGCGGCCGCAGACCCCGCGCTGGAGAGGAGCTACGAGCTGCCGGACGGGCGGGTCATCGCCGTGGGCAGCGAGCGGTTCCGCTGCCCCGAGGCGCTGTTCCGGCCGTCGCTGCTGGGCCTGGAGGCCCCGGGCATCCACGCCGCAGCCGCCGGCGCCGTCCTGCGGTGCGACGTGGACCTGCGCCGCGACCTGTTCGCCAACGCCGTGCTGTCCGGCGGCAGCACCCTGTTCCCCGGCCTGGCCGAGCGCCTGCGGCAGGAGGTGGCCGGCCTGGCCCCCGGGGGCGTGAGGGTCAAGGTCATCGCGCCGCCCGAGCGGAAGTACTCCGTGTGGGTCGGCGGCGCCATCCTGGCCTCGCTGTCCACCTTCCGGCAGATGTGGATCAGCCGGCAGGAGTACGACGAGGCCGGCCCGCCCGTGGTGCACAGGAAGTGCTTCTGAGGGCGGCGCCGCGGTCGGCCCGGCCCGGCCGCCCAGACGGCACCGTCCGCGCTGAGGGGCAGCCGTGCTGCCCTGCAAACCTCACACGCGCTCCACCCCGGCCGAGGGCCCGCCCGGCTGACCACCCGGCCCCCGTCCCCGGAGAATCCCACGAGATCAGGGTGAGGAGGGGACCGGGAGACACTCCTTCCCGGAGACCAGCACTCCAGCCCTCACGCTGGTTCTCGCAAACACAGAGCAGCCGCGACGCAGTGAACGTGCGTCCGCATAGCCAGCCGGTCCTAGGTTAGAATTAGTGTCTCCTATTTACCTTATTCTTCGTGCAGAGAGAGCGCAATGAGGGCCAGTGACATCTGTCCACACACAGCTCCAGGGAGATAGGGCTGAGGGTCCGCTGACCCCGAGACCTGGCGGGCAGGGCGCCTCCCTCCCCAGGGGTCATGTCTTAGGGCCCATCGCTCCGTCCTTCCTTCTTATAAAGCGGCATCATGAGAAGCACGGTCCCTCTGCTCAGCCTCCAGCGAAGAGCTCGGAGCGGATCCCAGGGCAGACTGCATTCTACCCGCAAAGCCGTGGCCTGTAGACAAGGCCTGCTTTCACCACAGGGAGACACACTCCATCAGCCATCGCCTCGACGAGACACGCTGCCCACCGTCTTCACTGGAGCGCGGTCCCGGGCGGGCTCCCCGGGCCGGACGTGGGTGTTTCTCTTCTCGAGGACTTCGAGGCAGGTCGAGGCAGGTCACGGTGCTGCCACGCCCCGCATGCCACAAACTGGCTCCAGCAGCCATGCCGGTGTCACTCCTGGGAAGACTTTGGAATAGATCTTTCTTGTCCGGTAGCTAGACTTCCTTATGCAGAAGCTCACAGCTCAGAAAATACCACTGTGCCTCCCCTTAATGTCTAAAAATGTCTGATGAATCCGATGATCATCTTCAACCCATTTCAAGTCCTCGTGCATTCATTTCAATATCTGCCATGATTTCTGGTGATCAGGGTCATTTGCGTGATTCTGAAATTTTGAGATTTGTTGGGGGCTGCTTATTAAGGAAGAAAGAATTTCTTGTTCCTTCTCGGTGGGAAACAGGGTTGTGTTTTAAAACTCTAAGTGGGAGGTGTTAGCATTTTTTCCTTCAGATGAAGTCCTTTGTTCATGATTGTTTGCACCTGTGGTGTGTGGTCCTGGGACCATTGGGAGGAAATGTTTTGTTTTTTAAAACAATTTTAAAAATATATTTCTTTATTGATTTCAGAGAGGAAGGGAGGAGAGAGAGACAGAAACATCAGTGATGAGAGAGAGTCATGGATCGGCTGCCTGCTGCACACCCCCCACTGGGGATCGAGCCCGAAAACCAGGCAGGTGCCCCTGGCCAGAACTGAACCTGGGACCCTTCCGTCCACAGGCTGATGCTCTATCCACTGAGCCACGCCGGCTAGGGCTGGAGGAAATTCTCTTTAAGGCGAGTGGTCACCGGTCGGTCAGGTTCCGGCGTGAAGGCTGGCGTCCGTGGGGGAGCCGGTCTCCGGGTAATTAATGGGCAGAGGCGGCAGCGACAGCGAGAAGGGGCCCTGGACGGACCGGCCGCAGCGTCTCTCCACACAGAGCGCTGAGAGGCACTGGGGTCAGAGGAGCTTCCCGCTGGACGAGCTGGAAGACGCTCCTCCTTGACCAAGGACCCGTGCTTTTAGTAACGCAGTTTGTCCCGAGGCGAGGCGAAGACAGGCACTTCACAGGGTGAGGTATCAGAGGGCTCACCGAGATCGTCAGTTTGGGGAATAGCCCACCGCTGCTCAGGTGTTTGGCCAACAGGAGGCAATAAATGCCCCGAGCTGTCTGGCAGCTAACGATCATCCTATTCAGGTTTGGGGGCAGTGCCTTCCAACAGGTGAACTGCATGTGGCTCACCCTCGCTGAGCTGCACAAGACCCATCGACCTTTCGGTAAAACTCTTGGAACTGTTACATGCTGGGGTTGGCTCTCGGGGTACAGACCACGGGGCCCGGGGCCCGGACAGGGGGCGTGGGCTCTGACTGACGGGAGGGGGTGGGGGGCGCACAGAGGAGACCAGGGCTCCGCAGCCAGGAGGGAGAGGGACCGGCCCTGGGAGCCTGCGCTGGGCCGGGGCCACATTCCTCTGTGATTAGACGAGGTCCCGATTGATAGGTACGTGTCTGCGCGGCCAAACCAGCTCCAAAATCAATAAGAAAGTCAGCTTATCGCTCCCAGTGGGAGAGGGGGGAGACAGGGACTGAGCGCGTGTCAAGGGCGGACCCGCATACCTTCGTGTCTAACCGGACAGCACAGCCGGCAGGCGGCGTTTATCAGCCGGGGTCGCCTTCCTGGGCAGCCGGATCCACCGGGAGATACCGGCCGGGAGATACTGGCCAGGAGATACTGGCCGGGAGATACCGGCCGGGAGATACGGGCCAGGGTCTGGCGTCTGAGACCACGGCCTCTGATCCTCACGTCGGAGGGAGACGTGCTCCCAGCAGAAAGGGGGGGGGGGTGGGCAGGTTAGGGCACAAGACGAACCACGTGGAGGAAGAGAGAACCTCACCAGGGCAGGTCGCACACGGACACGGGCAGGCGCTGGGGACAGAGGTGGGGGTGCGAGGAGAACAGGGAGGCGCCCAGCACAGCCAGGACACGTCCGAGGTGGCGGGAGGAGGGGTGCCCTGGGGGGAGAGCTGGGGTCTGAGTTCGGGGCGGACCCTTGGGGGGCTGAGCCGTGAGTGTGGGGCTCCAGGGCCGCAAGGGGAGCAGAGCCCAGCGGACAGACGGACAGTCAGGTGGACGGACACAGGATCAGCCGCTGCCGAGAAAAGGGAAGGAACTGGAGCCGAGGAGCTCAGAGCAGACAGTGTCCTGGAGAGCCGGGAGCGGGTTCAGGAGCGAGAGGCCCGGCCGCGTGGCTCTGTGGCCGAGCGCTGACCTGTGAACCAGGAGGTCAGGGTTCGATTCCCGGTCAGGGCACAGGTCCGGGTTGCAGGCCCGATCCCCAGGGAGGGGCGTTCAGGAGGCAGCCGATCCATGGTTCTCTCATCACTGATGTTTCTCTCTTCCTTTCTCACTGAAATAAAAACAGAAGCAGAGCAGCCAGTGTGAGGGGAAGAGGCCCTCCTCTCAGGCCCCCTGAGAGCAGGGGTCAGAGCGGAGCCGGCCCAGGTGGCCGTCAGCCGGGAGCGGGGAGCCAGAGCAAGCTCCAGGCTGCTGAGCGCCTGGCTCAGACCGGACGAGGCCAGCGGCCAGCAGCCGGGCACCGGGCCGATGTCAGCGGCAGGAACCCCGGCCGGCGCCCCACGGCCAGCCGGCAGGTCACTGACCCCACATTCTCCACGCGCACCCCGTATCAGGCCGATTAGACCAGCGTCTGGAGCGTCTGGAATGCGCCTGGCTTTTGTCGGAGCAACGCCGACATGACAAGCAGCACGGCCTCCGGACCGAGCTTGGTCCCCTCGGTGGGAAGGCTGGCCTTGACGGAAATGGCCAAGCGTCCCCATGGGGCCACGTGCAGCCGGCCACCAACGGGCCCTGGGGACACGGCACCCTGAGGACGGCCCCGAGGGCACCCGGGGTGACCCCTGAGCTCCTCTGCTCAGCGAGGAGCCGCCCTCCGTGCCCGCTGGCCGGCGGGTGGGAGGTGCGGGGACTCGGGGTGGCTCCTGGAAGGAAGTGACACTGTGCTCCTCACGGGACCGTCTCACGACCTGCTCTCCGAGTCACTCTCAGTGAATAAAAAACACCGGACTCTCCCCACTGACCAGGGACTTTAGAATGTTGTGGCTTTGTTTCAAACGGTCTCACAAAAGGCTGTTTTATTTCGTGTTTTGTGTGGGTAGAGAACTGACTAGCAGGGACTGATTCAATCAAGCCGTTGTGCTTAATGAGTTCATTCGAATTTCCTGACGCACTTATAGCTTTTTAATTCAGCTTTTTCCATTTACATTTTGGGGTCATAGTACATTTCCATAGAGAAAACCTGTTTGTTTTTAATGGAAGCATTTGGTGGCTAAAAATAGAAAAATCAATCTTTCGTTTAAGTTCAAAGAACTGGCAATCTTCATTCCTATGAGAGAAAGAGAGAGAGAGAAACTAGAAACTGAGAACCAGCTGACCAATGTGCTCCCTTCTCTCCGAGAACAGGACGGGGAGACACGGCGGCTTCTTTGCAAACGAAGCAAAGAAGTGGCTGCTCTGGGGCTCAGCAACGTGGAGTGACCCCTTAGTTTGCACCGAAACTCAGTTTTCTGTCTTTGTCCTGGTGGGGGAGGAGCAACGAGGTAAGATCCTCCCTCTAGCCCTGGCAGGTATGCTCGGTGGTTAGATCGTCTGTTGCCAATTAAAGGGTCACAGGTTCGATCCCGTCAAGGGCACATAACTCAGCTGCAGGCTCGATTCCCAGTGTGGGGTATGCAGGAGGCAGTCCATCGGTGATGCTCTCTCATCATGGATGTTTCCATCTTTCTCCCCGTCTCCCTTCCTCTCTGAAGTCAGTAGAATACTTTTTTAAAAAATAAAAGAAAGCGAAAGCTCGAAGGTGCTGAGCCAGGAGGCCGATCACATGTCAAGCCCAAGACGCTTTCTGGCCTCGTCTTCTGCTGCCATGGCAACAGCCACCCTCTATTTTCTGAAAAGTGGTTCATAATTAGATTTGGGAGAAGAGAAATTCTATTTCAAACTTCAGTTCAGCTCACTCCTCTCTCTGATAACACCACCCTGTGTGCTCTTCCTGGAGATTCAGGGAGTCCTGGGAATGAACATCCGGGGAAGGTGGGTGGTCCAGATCCGTGGACTCTACCCAGACCCGGGCCTGGGCCTCCGAGGTGCGGCTGTGAGGGCAGGGTTCACGTTGCAGAGCGAAGTGGTCTCGGCAAACGAGCCGGGACTTGCCAGCACGGCCCAGGCAGCGTGGCTCCATGGCTGAGCCTCCACCTCTGAACCAGGAGGTCACAGTTCAGTTCCTGGTCAGGGCTTGTGCTCGAGTTGCGAGCTCAATCCCCAGTGTGGGGCGTGCAGGAGGCAGCCAATCCATGGTTCCCTCTCATCACTGATGTTTCTATCCCTCTCTCTCCCTTCCTCTCTGAAACAATAGAAATACCTTTTTTTAAAAACACAGGCTACCAAGTTAAATTTACATTTCAGGTGAACGTCGAGATGTTTTCAGTGTAAGTGTTTGTGAAACATTGCATGGGGCATACTTAGACTGAAAGTTAAGCTCACCTCTTTGATCAGGCCCAGAAATAGATCTGGAGATGCTGACTGGCATAGGAACCAACCAATCAGAACCAAAGGTGGGTGCTTGTGGGGAGCCAATGGCTGTCTAGGAGGCAGAGCTTTTGATGCTGACTGGCATAGGAACTGACCAATGAGAACCAAATCTAGGTGCTATGGGGAGCCTAGGAGGTGAAGCTTTTATGCTGGTATAGGAACCGACCAAACTGACCAAACAGAACTCTTGGCCAGCAGAAGAGGGCAGTTGGGGGTGACATCAGGCCTGCAGGAGAGGGCAGTTAGGGGTGATCAGGCTGGCAGGCAGAAGCAGTTAGGAACAATCAGGCAGGCAGGCAGGTGAGCAGTTAGGAGCCAGTGTCCCAGATTGTGAGAGGTATGTCTGAATGCCAGTTTAGGGATCAGCCTAAAATGGTAGTTGGACATCCCAATAGGAGTCCCCAATTGGAGAGGGTGCAGGCTGAATAGAGGGAATCTCCCCTCTGTGCACAAATTCTGTGCACCAGGCCTCTAGTATTAAAAATAAATAAATAGCTGAAACCGGTTTGGCTCAGTGGATAGAGCGTTGGCCTGCGGACCAAAAGGTCCCAAGTTTGATTCCGGTCAAGGGCATGTACCTTGGTTGCGGGCACATCCCCAGTGTGGGGTGTGCAGGAGGCAGCTGATTGATGGTTCTCTCTCATCGATGTTTCTAACTCCCTATCCCTCTCTCTTCCTTTCTGTAAAAAATCAATAAAATAAAATAAAACAAAATAAATTAATACATACATACATACATATATAAATAACTTTAAAAAGAGAAATTGCTATTTTTCTCTTTCTCACTAACATCCACGCAACTATGACTGTGAACTTATGCAAACACGTGGTTAGTGATTCACATCTACCTGAGGCCGTGGTTGGCAAACTGCGGCTCGCGAGCCACATGCAGCTCTTTGGCCCCTTGAGTGTGGCTCTTCCACAAAATACCAAGGCCCGGGCGAGTCTATATTAAAGAAGTGGCGTTAGAAGAAGTTTAAGTTTAAAAAATTTAGCTCTCCAAAGAAATTTCAGTCGTTGTGCTGTTGATAATGGATCTATGGACTAATGAGTTTGCCGACCTCAGGTGGCGTTTCTCTGGTTGGTTACTGGAGGTTTTGTGTGTGTTTGTGTGGTAAACTGCCCACACGTTTATTGAAACTAAAAAATATCAACTTACCCAACAGGAAACCAATGCAGCCCACTACGAAGGCCTGAACCCTCCCACGGTGTTTACCCCAAGCTGTGACATGTTCTAGAAGTTTCTGTGTTGATGTTTTTCCTCAACCATTTTACTCCATAATATAATCACCCTTAAGTTCTAAAATCGGATACTTTAAATTGTTTACTGCTTTTCAGGTCACCTTACGAAAGGGGTGAGTGTTTTCTTAGGAAGAAGGAGGAGGAGGGAGGGAGTGGGGGGAAGGGGAGGAAGGAAGAGAGGGAGGAGGGAGGGAGGGAGGAAGTAGGGGAGGGAAGGGGAGGGAGAGGGGGAGGGAAAGAATATCCTCCCGAACCAATAATGCAGAAATAAATGGTAAACAGACCAGAATCGGACAGAGGGGGGTCGAGGGACCTACACCTAAGGTCACATCAGGTGAGGAGTCAGAATTTCTCTCCGGAAACGTGTTTGGTCGGGGAGGCACCTCCTCCTCCTCCTCCTCTTCCACGTGGAGTCAGTGCAGCCTCAGGCCGCCCTGGCGGAGCCGCGAGGCCCCTGAGCCACGCAGCACCCGCTGGCCGGGGTCCTGGTGGAACCCTCACAGCCGCCCACAGAGGGCGCAGCCCCCACACGCCCTGCAGGGCCGCCCGGCACACTGCTCGGCTCAGCACACGCAGTCGCGTCGCTCATTATAAAGGGATCCATTCAGCCGAAGCCGAGCGTCGGCCTGCAGACTGGAAGGTTCCAGGTTCGATTCCGGGCAAGGGCATGTATAATACCTTGGTTGAGAGCACATCCCCAGTGGGGGGGGTGCAGGAGGCAGCTGGTCGATGTTTCTCTGTCATCGATGTTCCTAACTCTCTGTCCCTCTCCCTTCCTCTCTGTAAAAAAATCAATAAAATATATTTTAATAAATAAATAAAGGGATCCTTTCAAAGCATCTCTGCGAAGCAGCCCTCGTCCCTTCGTCACCAGCAATGCCACGGACCAAGAGGCACACATGTGACAGACTCACGTACCAGGCCTGAGCTAGCCATGCAGCTGAGAAGTTACTTTTCCCACCCTTTTACTTTAGAATTAAAAAAAACAACAACAAAAAAAACCCTCATCAGCAGGACTTACAGTACACGTGTCTTTAAAAAATGCTTTCAGGGTGTTTACACAAACACAGGTTTCTCGCGTGTGTTTGCAGCGGGGAGATTAGCGTTGTACCCGCGGACATTACAGCTGGCCCGGAGTGGCCCTGTCCTTCTTCACAGGAACCCCTGGGAGCTCTGAATACATGTGTGCAGCCGGCCCGTGTGGCTCCATGAGCGTCGGCCTAGGAACCAGGAGGTCACAGGTCAATTCTGATAGCGCACAGGCCCCGGTTGTGGGCTCGATCCCCAGAGGGGGGCCTGCAAGAGGCAGCTGATCCACGATTCCCTCTCATCACAGATGTTTCTCTCTTTCTCTTTCCCTCTTCCTTCCTCTCTGAAATCAATAAAAATATTAAAAAATAAAAATAAAAATAAAAACTGGGTCAAGACAACCACTTCCTGCCACCTGCAGGCCCCTGTCCACCACCTCCAGCCTAGGCCGCGGGTTCGCAGGCCACGCCCGCCCTGGGCTGCAGGTGTTTTGCGGGAGAATCCATTTTGCCAATCTGGCCCATCTTCAAGGTAAAAGCTTCCATTTAAACCGTCAGAATGTGTGGCCAACGCGAGTGGGACTGATGCTCTTCTCCCTACAGACCCGGGATTACGGAGACCACCACAGGCCCTGCAGTTCCCCTCCCATCACCCACCTGGGCCGCCCCCCCCCCACCCCCACAGAAACCTCCGGAAACCCCGCCTCCGCAGGCTCACGCGGCTCCTGGGTGGACCCGATGGGCACCAGCCCCGCTGCCCTGCGTGGGGCGGGCCCTGGAGGTCGGGAGTGGGTCATCGATCAGAAATCGGTTTGGTGAGAACGTTAAACATAAGGACTCGGCCACATAAACAGTTGTTATAAGTGGTTTCCTGGGACAGCAGCTCCCTCTCTGGCTGGCCTCCATCCCGGGAACCACGAAACGTGACTCATCAGCAGAGACCGTCACACAGCAGCCGGCCGCTCCGACGTCCTCTCCCCACGAGCCAGCCTGGCCCACGGCCTCACCGGTCCTGGCCGAGCAGCTTCTGCTTCAAAATGGGCAGGTCGTTCCTGCTCCGCGAGGTCGCGCCCAGCTCTCCCGGGCCTGGGGGAGGGCCTCTGAGGCCACCCAGGCCCGGTCCCCTCCTCCCCCGCTCACCCTGTGCTCTGTCTCAGCAGTTAACTTCCTTAGTGGTCTGCTCACTCCCTACAACGGAGCTGCCTTTATTCCCAATCTATATATTATATAAAAGGCTAATATGCAAAGTGTCCCCCTGGGAGTTCGACCAGGAATTTAACCACTCGCTATGACATGCACTGACCACCAGGGGGCGGTGTGGAATGAAGGAAGGCCCTGATCAGCCCTGATCGCCAGTCAGGCCCAGGGACCCAACCTGTGCACGAATCTCATGCACTGGGCATCTAGTTCTAATACAATCGGATTTATCACCAGGAGAGTTTCTTTCCTGGTTAATGAGAGCATCATTTTTATTATTACTAACATAATCATTATTTTATAGGTTTCAACACTAATCAACGTCTGGATGTCATTGCAGCTGCAAATGGTGGCTCCTACGCTCACACCAGTCTTGTGGCTCCCTGGCCCGCCCACTCCCCACCCTCCACCCCCCACCCCCGCTGCATTATGACTCTTCGGCAGGATCACCGACGTCTCCCATCCCCTCAGGCTGGCCGCCTGTGCCGAGGCCCTCACCACGTCTTTTCGCCCCAATAAAAATTCTCTGAACAAGCAGACTTCTCAGAACCTAGACCACAGCTGCCCACTTGTAGGGCTCCATCACTTTCTATGAATGAGGAACTCCCAGAGCATGCACACATATATACATGTATGCATGCATACATACATACTGTGTGTGCATGCATGCGTGGGTGTGTGCCAGTTCACCTCTCACATCAGCAGCAAACCTCCCGGGGGCAAATCAGAATCTCGTTTTCGAGGAGTCGAACTATAATTTGGGGGCCTCTGATGCTCATGAACCCACAATCGCCTCCAGTGACTCAACTGGAGGTGCTGGGGGCCCCATAACAGCCCTGGCTCCGCCCAGCGTGGTGGCAGCTGCACCTGCGGTTGAATTCGTCCTTCTGTGCGGCTGCTTCCTGGGAAGCACTAGTACCCATCAGGTGTGCGGGCACGGCCAACTCATTAGCCAACAGAGCTGAATGTCAACAGCACAACGATTGAAATTTCTTTGGAGAGCCAAAATTTTTTTAAATATATTTTATTGATTTTTTACAGAGAGGAGGAGAGAGGGATAGAGAGCTAGAAACGTCGATGAGAGAGAAACATCGACCAGCTGCCTCTTGCTCACCCCCCACCGGGGATGTGCCTGCAACCAATGTACATGCCCTTGACCGGAATCGAACCTGAGACCTTTCAGTCCACAGACCGACGCTCTACCACTGAGCCAAACCGGTTTCGGCTGGAGAGCCAAATTTTTTAAACTTAGACTTCTTCTAACACCACTTCTTTAAAACAGACTAGTCCAGGCGTGGTGTTTTGTGGAAGAGCCACACCCAAGGGGTCAAAGAGCCGCCTGTGGCTCGAGAGCCGCGGTTTGCCGACCACTGCCGTAGACAAACGGCTCCATCTCCAGACGGAAACCAGCAGCGTGTCGTCAGCCGGGCGGTCAAGCCGCAGGCGCCAGTCATGTGGACGGAGCCCACCGGTCCCCTGACCCTCGTCTGTGCAGAGCAGCCAGTCCGCTGGGCCTGCATGTGGGAACCTCCTTTCTGAGCCCACAGCCTTTGCCGGGGCCTCCCGCGGAGGGTCGGGGGGAAGGCGAGAGCAGGGCTGTCCGAAGAAAGGTAACGTGGCCTCATTTTTAATTTCCTTCTCCCCCCACTTAAAAGGGCGAATGAAACAAGTGAAATTAATTTTAATAATCTGTTACCTAACCCACTAGACCCAAAGAGAACCAGCTAAAACATGTGATTAATATAAAAGCCATTGGGCTGTTTCACGTGTGTATTTGGTCCTAAGTCTTTGAGATCCGTGATCTCACACACGCCTCTCCTCTGGAATGGCCCGGTCGGTGCTCCCGGCTCTGGGGGAGGCCATGCGTCGGCCAGGGAGGAGGTGAATGGCGGCAGCAGAGGGCCTTCGGGGCACGGGACTGCATGTGGCACCGAAGTGGGGGATACAGTCCTTACCTGTGTGCACACACAGGGCGTGCAGCCCAGACAGGAGCCTGAGGCCACTCTGGGCCCCGGTGAGGATGTGTCAGGGAGGGTCTCAGCTGTACCAGGTGCAGCCAGGGGTGTGGGTGGGGGCTGGGCAGGGGGCAGGGGTATATGAAAACCACCTTCTGCTCAGTGCTGCCGTAAAACCACTGGGGCACCCCAATCACTACCTGTACCCCAACCACTCCCTGCACCCCTAGGTGCCCTCTGGGCCACACTCCCAGACAAACCCCCACTTTCCCCAGGTCCCTCTCCTAGACGCTGCCGCTCTGGACCTGAACCCCCTCTGTCTCCTAATTAGGCAGGTGAGGAGGAGGAGCAGGTGTCCCAGCTCCGTGTGCAGGAGGAGGAGGTGTCCCCGCTCCGTGTGCAGGAGAAAGTGAAGCCGGTGTCCCCGCTCCGTGTGCAGGAGGAGGTGTCCCCGCTCCGTGTGCAGGGGGAGGAGGTGTCCCCGCTCCGTGTGCAGGGGGAGGAGGTGTCCCCGCTCCGTGTGCAGGGGGAGGAGGTGTCCCCGCTCCGTGTGCGAGAGGAGGTGTCCCCGCTCCGTGTGCAGGGGGAGGAGGTGTCCCCGCTCCGTGTGCAGGGGGAGGAGGAGGAGGTGTCCCCGCTCCGTGTGCAGGAGGAGGAGGAGGAGGTGTCCCCGCTCCGTGTGCAGGAGGAGGAGGTGTCCCCGCTCCGTGTGCAGGGGGAGGAGGTGTCCCCGCTCCGTGTGCAGGGGGAGGAGGTGTCCCCGCTCCGTGTGCGAGAGGAGGTGTCCCCGCTCCGTGTGCAGGGGGAGGAGGTGTCCCCGCTCCGTGTGCAGGGGGAGGAGGAGGAGGTGTCCCCGCTCCGTGTGCAGGAGGAGGAGGAGGAGGTGTCCCCGCTCCGTGTGCAGGGGGAGGAGGTGTCCCCGCTCCGTGTGCAGGGGGAGGAGGTGTCCCCGCTCCGTGTGCGAGAGGAGGTGTCCCCGCTCCGTGTGCGGGAGGAGGAGGTGTCCCCGCTCCGTGTGCAGGAGGAGGTGTCCCCGCTCCGTGTGCGGGAGGAGGAGGTGTCCCCGCTCCGTGTGCAGGAGGAGGAGGTGTCCCCGCTCCGTGTGCAGGAGGAGGTGTCCCCGCTCCGTGTGCAGGAGGAGGTGTTCCCACTCCGTGTGCAGGAGGAGGTGTTCCCACTCCGTGTGCAGGAGGAGGAGGTGTCCCCGCTCCGTGTGCAGGAGGCCCACGCCCCTCCTGGTGCAGAAGCTCCTTTAGGGCAGGAGCCGCCTCCTGACCACAGTCCTCGCAGCCCAGCGACCCACTGTCCATGGGAGCCTGGGCCCACCTTCCCTGATCCCAGACTCACACCCACGGGGACGTGGTCTCTGCGAGCTCACAGCCACGGCTGAGGCCGTGATCCTGCCGGAGGGCTCTCCTCCACGCTGGGCCTGCACGTGGCCCTGCACAAGAGGACGGCACGTCCTCAGTCCGGGCGCGAACCTGTGCGAACGCAGGGGCCGCTCTCCCATGGGTCCTGCTGCCTCCGCGCCAGGAGGGAGGGACCTCGGGGCCCCCTCGGTGTCCCCCGGACCGTGCAGCCGGGCACGGCAGAGGGACTGCAATCCTGGAGGGCGGCTCGGGGAGGGGGGAGGGGGGAGGAGATGGGGGGCCCGGACAGAAGGGCACAGGGTTCACCCAGGCCTCGCTGTTTTCCGTTTTGACAAAACAGTTTATTTTGGATCTAAACATCCCCCACCACGCTGTGAGCTGACATTTCTGTGTTTTCACTCGAAAGAGAAACTAACCAGAAACCACGGTGATAAACACCCGCTCGGCGAGGTTGGTGTCCAAGCCAAACAGCAGCCACGGGGAGAAGGCAGGAAAGAGGGGTCGCCTGCCGGGTCCTGTTCACAGCAAAGGCCGGTGTCCTTGTGGCCAGACGGGCATGAGGGGCCACCCTGCCCACCTGCCTGCTGTGCCCGGCGCCCGGCCGGCCTCCGGTGCACCCAGCACCCACCTGAGGGGCAGCAGCAACACCTCTCCAGGGGTCTGTGCAGCCACCATCCACCTCTCGGCCCCGCCCGGGTGGTCAGCGCTGTCCTGACCTGTCCCACCTGCAGGGGGCGCCGCAGAGGCTCAGCTCAGGTCCCTGCAGGGCCCTGGGGCCCTCGGCCCTCATGTGGGGCCCAGGGAGCTGCTGTGAGGAGCCGGCTCAGGTAGCGATGGAAGCAAGTTCCGGGTTTGACAGGGAGCTGACAGAGCCCTGGCTGGTGTGGTTCAGTGGCTAGAGTGACACCCTATCGACTGGAGGGTCCTGGGCTCAATTCCCGGTCAAGGGCGCATGTCTAGGCTGCAGGCTCCATCCCCAGGATGGATCGATCCCCAGTGGTTCTCTCTCATCACTGATGTTTCTCTCTCCCTCCCTCTCCCTTCCTCTCTGAAACCAATAAAAAGATTAATAAAAATATATAAATAAATAAGCGGCCAAAACCGGTTTGACTAGTGGATAGAGGGTCGGTCTGCGGACTGAAAGGTCCCAGGTTCGATTCCGGTCAAGGGCATGTACATTGGTTGCAGGCACATCCCCAGTGGGGGGGGTGCAGGAGGCAGCTGATCAGTGTTTCTCTCTCATCGATGTTTCTTAGCTCTCTGTCCCTCTCTCTTCCTCTCTGTAAAAAATCAATAAAATATATTTTTTTTAAAAGAAGAAAAAAAGCAGACAGAGCCCTGGACACAGGCTCACAGGACTCCCGGCTGACACTTAGTGATGTCACTTTTCACAGTGACTGTTCCTTCTCCAATTGTCAGACGGATGGAAGGTTACTGAGCTGGCCCTGCCCGGCCCCAGCTCAGGGGTGAGGGCGGCCCCAGCTCAGGGTGAGGGCGGCCCCAGCTCAGGGTGAGGGCGGCCCCAGCTCAGGGTGAGGGCGGCCCCAGCTCAGGGTGAGGGCGGCCCCAGCTCAGGGGTGAGGGCGGCCCCAGCTCAGGGGTGAGGGCGGCCCCAGCTCAGGGGTGAGGGCGGCCCCAGCTCAGGGGGTGCCCTGTCCAGGGAGGGCGGCCCCAGCTCAGGGGTGAGGAGCCGACCCCAGCTCAGGGGGTGCCCTGTCCAGGGAGGGCGGCCCCAGCTCAGGGGTGAGGAGCCGACCCCAGCTCAGGGGGTGCCCTGTCCAGGGAGGGCGGCCCCAGCTCAGGGGTGAGGGCGGCCCCAGCTCAGGAGTGAGGGCGGCCCCAGCTCAGGGGTGAGGGCGGCCCCAGCTCAGGGGGTGCCCTGTCCAGGGAGGGCGGCCCCAGCTCAGGGGTGAGGGCGGCCCCAGCTCAGGGGGTGCCCTGTCCAGGGAGGGCGAGGGCGATCAGGACACGCTGAAGCCAGCGCCCCCCGGACTCCGGTTTGCCAGGAAGCCCCGCTCACCAGCCACAGCTGCAGGGAGGACCAGCAGCCGCGGCCCCGGCACCTGGGCCGGGTTCGCTGGGCCGGATCCGACGGACTCGGGGTGACACGGGTCGGGGTGCTGGCTGAGGTTCCGTTGCTGTGTTCCTGGAAGTGAGAGTGAGACCAGGTGCAGGGAACCGCCAGGCACCGGCCCAGGACAGCCTGCCCGCCCGCGCCCGGCCAGCGGAACCGGGTCATGGTTAGGGCTGCAGTTATAGCTTCTCATCCTCACCCTCAGCCCCGAGGGCACCAGCACACACACCCCCACCCAACACACACGCACGCACACACACACGCACACACACACACACACCATCACACACACACACACACCATCACACACACACACACCACCACACACACACACACACCATCACACACACACCATCACACACACACACACACACCATCACACACACACACACCACCACACACACACACACACCATCACACACACACCATCACACACACACACACCATCACACACACACCATCTCACACACACACACACACACCATCACACACACACACACCATCACACACACACACACCATCACACACACACCATCACACACACACACACACCATCACACACACACACACCACACACACACACACACCATCACACACACACCATCACACACACACACACCATCACACACACACCATCTCACACACACACACACACACCATCACACACACACACACCATCACACACACACACACCATCACACACACACCATCACACACACACACACACACACACCATCACACACACACACACCATCACACACACACACACCATCACACACACACACACACACACACACCCCATCTCACACACACACACACACACACACACACCATCACACACACACACACCATCACACACACACACACACACCATCACACACACACCATCACACACACACACACCATCACACACACACACACCATCACACACACACCCACACACACACCATCACACACACACCATCTCACACACACACACACACACCATCACACACACACACACCATCACACACACACACACACACACACACACCCCATCTCACACACACACACACACACACCATCACACACACACCATCTCACACACACACACACCATCACACACACACCATCACACACACACACACACACACCATCACACACACACACACACACACCATCACACACACACACCATCACACACACACACACCATCACACACACACCATCACACACACACACACACACACCATCACACACACACACACCATCACACACACACCATCTCACACACACACACACACACCATCACACACACACCATCACACACACACACACACACACCATCACACACACACACACACACACACCATCACACACACACACACACCATCACACACACACCATCACACACACACACACACACACACACCATCACACACACACACACCATCACACACACCAGGAGCCCCAGCCGGATGGACGGGCTGGGGACCTGGGGTCAGAGTCAGCGTGCACCTCCAGGGAACTCCCCTGTGTCACAAAGGAGGAAGTAGAGGTCATGTGACCGCTCGAGGTCACAGGGTCAAGGGAGAGCAGCCCTGCAGCCCTCCTCCTATGGCCTGTCCCCCTCCGGGGCCCCAGGACCCACCACTCGCAGGAGGACGGACGCAGCCCGCTGGCCGGCGTGACGGCCCCGGAAGGTTCTAGTGAGACGGCACCGCGGTCGCAGAGGACACGGGCCTGGCTCCGCCTCCGGTCCTGTCCCCCGCGAGGGCCTCAGCGACCCTGCGGACCCAGGGCCCCTCAGCCTCAGGAGCAGCACCAGCCCTCAGACTGAAAGGTCCCGGGTTCGATTCCAGTCAAGGGCATGTACCTTGGTTGCAGCTGCTCCGGCCCCGATCAGGGCACAGGCAGGAGGCAGCCAATCGATGTCTCACATGGACGTTTCTCTCGGTCCCCCTCCCTTCCCCGCTCTCTCAACATCGATGGAGAAACCCGTCGGGGGAGGGAGAACAAATAAAATAAATAGAAACCAGATCTCAGAAAAGACGCAGGAATCCACCTCCTCACTCACTTCTCGGGGGAGACCAGGGGCTCAGTCGGCTCAGGGTCGGGTGGGGGGTGCGGGGAGGAGGCCCAGGGACACGGGAGACCCGGGTCCTGCTGAGCAGACGAAGTGCCTGCAGGCCCTTGGGTGGGGGGTTGCTGCCCCCTGGTGTTCATTCTCTTTTATGAAAACAGTCGGACGAAGTCCTTACTGGGGTTTCCTTCCCTTCCGCACCCCCCAGAGGAGGTGCCTGCCCTGGCTGAGGCTGAGGCTGCGGCCCGGGAGGGGTCAGGCTGAGCTGGTGACAGGCCCTGGTCTCCTCACAGGTGCCTGGGCCGAGCTTGCTCTCAGCAGGAGGCGGGAGCCCGAGGACCAGGCCGGAGCCCAGGCCCCGCCACGGCCCCACAGGGTCCGGCCACCTCCCAGCCCGGGGACCAGGATCCCCCGCCGAGCGACCGTGATTCCGGGAGCAGAGTTCAGAGTCAGGCCTGGGCCCCTGCCCCGCCAGGGTGAGAGCCCTGAGCAGGGGTAACGGGTGAGAACCGGGGGGGGATCGGGTTCAGAGTCAGGTCTCCTGGCAGAGGCGGCCAGGAGGCCTCTCAGGTGGCGGGGATGGAGGGGACGCCCGCCTCCCGGGCAGCCCCACTCCGGGTCCGTTTCTCCCACGAGTCCCGTCAGATCTGTCTGTCCCTCAGGAATCCAGGCAGGAGTGAGGTCACATCAGGGCCTCCCCCCGACCCGGCCGGAGCCAGGCACCAGAGACCCTCCTGTCCGTGACGGGAGGCCCCTTCCGTGGCCACCAGGCCAGGCGCGGCCGGGCTCCGTGGACAGGGGCGGGGACGGGCCAGCCCAGGGCAGCCTGCGGCCGGGAGTCCTCGGTGTTGGCTTTCCTGGCTGAGCTGGGTCTGCTCCGTGGCACAGGCTCCGGAGCCAGTGCCCTCCCTCCGTGGCCTCCGGGTCCATCGGCGCCTGCGCCCGGCAGGAGCCGCAGGGAAAGGGGGCCCGGGAGGGGAGCCCGGCTGCCTCCTGCACGCCTTCTCCTGGGACCGAGCTGGCAGCGAGGGCCTGTGCCCCGGACGAAATCGCACCAGGACCCTCCCGTGTGCAGCCCACGCACCAGCACCAGGCACGCCGGCCGAGCACGTGTGCGCCTTTCTAACAGGTGTGAACCCTGCCGCCAGCGCGCCGGTAAAGCGCCGTATGGAGCCTGGGAGCAGAGGCTGGAGATGGAGGAGCGACTGAGGCCACCTTCTCTGCGGGGGGGGGTGGAGGGCAGACGGGTCAGGACACGCCCGCGGCCCTTTACACGTTTAGTGAGCACGCGTGTGTTCTGAGACCTACACCACAAACACTCCCCAGCTCCTCCACCTGCCCTCCAACCCGAACTCTGTTCAAAGTCTGATGGCATCAGGCCAACCGGACCATTGTTACACTTCAGTATTTGCTTCAACTCTTAAAGAAACGTTTATGAAAATAAAAATTACCCCACTAACACAAAACATAAAATATTCTCTTTGAAATGCTACGTTAAACCCATTACAGGAAGTTTCGGTCACACATTCCAAAACCCCCAAAAACCGCTGGGGGAGGGGAGTAATGGTAAAGGCGGGGGGGGGGGGGGGGGGGGGGGAGCCACCAGACACCTTTTTGGGGCGAGACACGTTCACTCCCCGACGGCCGTGATGTTTCACAGGTCAACACCTGCCAAACGACATGCCTTCAGTGTGTATTTTGTGTCCACTTTTGCCGCAACAGAGTGGTTTGTGTTTAAGGAAAACCTGCCACACAAAAACAAATGTGAAGTAGATGGTGCCTCAGGCTCCGTGGCCGAGGTCAGCGTTTCCAGATCACAGCTTGGCTGGTTCCCGTGCTTGTGGGCACCCTCTCTCCAAGCCCGGTGCAGCCGCCGCCCGCTCCCGAGATGGCGAGTCAGAGCATGGCTCTGGGCAGACAGCCTGCCCTCTCGCCCACGCGAACGGAGCCCAGCGTGGGCCTTCAAGGCAAGGACCGGGCGCTGTGCCGCCTCCGCCGCAGCTGTGAGCCAACCACAGGCTGGCACCGCCCGGCGCCCCACGCCCCAGGCGCTGCTGAGGGGACGAGGGCCCAGAACCCTGAGCGAAGGCAGGACGCCAGAGCGGAGGACGGCCAGCTCTCCTCCGGAAGCTTCCAGAAAGCACAGCAGGTGTGCTCACATGGACGCCACGGTTCTCGGAGCCTTTCGGGCTGGCAAGCACCTGTGCACTGGCAGTGCGAGCCCAGCAGTGCGAGCCAAGCAGACACGTGGGCGGCCGAGGCCGAGGTGGGAGCGCAGCAGCCACGGGCTCCGCGTGGCCAGCATGCACGAGGGAGGACTGCATGGCCGGTGACAAATTCCGAGGAGAGCGCTCCAATGACAAGCACTTTGTAACTCCCCACCAGGTTCAGTGGGACGGAACCCTCACCACCACCCCCAGGAACAGACCTGCCTCCTGGTAAAGACTGAGGAGAGACAGACAGAGAGGAAAGGGAACATCCATGTCAGACATAGGAGTGGTTATCTAGGCAGAATATTGAGGTGGAAACAGCAAAAACACAGAAGTCTTCTGAAAACACAATTTGAAAAAGGAAAGACTGAGGAGGAGCTCAGCCTGAGACCTGGGACACTCTTGCTGTGGAACTTTCGTGAGTATGGTGTGGGAGGGAGGCAGACACAGGAATACGGCACAGAGAAAAAATAAAGCTACAGCCTCCTCCCCACAGCAGAGAGAAACAAACGACTAAAACGGACGTGTGCTGGAACGCGGGTGCGCGGGCACTGGGCGCGCGAAGCCGCGGAGGACGAGGCCGTGGCCAGCCTCCGTTCCTGAGCGGGCCGGCCGCGCCCGCCCGGCAGCAAGCAGCGCCGGGCCGGAGCAGAGCGTGGAGACCACCCCGAACACCACAGAGCACGAGGTTCTGAAAATCCAGTTTATTTCCATGTTGGGACAGGTCCAGCCAGTGTGATCAGCTTTTCTGCTCATGTAATAATTTATCAAAATAAGCTTTCCCACAATAACGCTCCCATCAACCCTGGAAACCCTGTCTCACAACATCCCCAATAAAGCTCTGGAAAACCACGTCTTAAACTCGGGAGGAGGTGGAGTCTGTGCTGTAACAGGCACGGAGTTACGACGGCTGAGCAGCGAGTGCTTGGAGGGAGTGACGGCGGCCGGAGGTCAGGCTCCGTGCACTGCTCCGGGTCCGACATGCTAGTGTCTCTGGGCGGGCACAGATGGGCGGAGGATTCCCACTGGACGAAGAGGCTCTGCAAACAAACAGTGGAAGCTGCCTTTTCTCTTAGACCCGGACATTTTAAGACAGAAGCTTTGCAAAACATTACACAATTTTTTATTATTAAATGAGAACATCTCATCTGTTACATCGTCACATTGCTAGTCAGAGAAACACTGTGGTGCTGAGTCCACGCTGTCCACCACAGTCCTCATCTCTACAACATCCATGTACAAAGAGAATGTTCGCGGCCCAACACCACGGTCTTGGTTCTCTTCGCACTGAAGTCCCCCAAGCTCCTCACGGCGTTTCTACGTAAGTTCTAGTTCACGGACTCCGGCGGAGGACGCGGCCACACGGGCTGAGGCCGGGCCTCACACGTCGTCATCGTCGGACGTGTCGCTGCTGCTCGTCTCCGTGTCGTCGTTCTCGATCGTGGGGTGGAAAGTGCTGCTTTTCCAGGGTCCGAACTTGAAGTCACAGATCAGGCCGTTTTTCAAAATACCATTTTTCCTCAGACCATTCTTCTGCAACTAAAATGCCAAACACAAAAATTAAATACACTGTGCTCCAAGAGTTACCATCAAGTTAAGAACTGTGTGATAGCCCTGGCTGGTGTGGCTCAATGGATAGAGCATCGGCCTGCAGACTGAAAGGTCCCGGGTTCAATTTCAGCCAAGGGCACATGCCCGGGTTTCAGACTTCATCCCCAGTGGGGGGCGTGCTGGAGGCAGCCAATCCATGATTTTCTCTCATCATTGATGTTTCTCTCTCCCTCACCCTTCCTCTCTGACATCAATAAAACATTTATTTTTAAAATATATTTTATTGATTTTTTTATAGAGAGGAAGAGGGACAGAGAGCTAGAAACATCGATGAGAGAGAAACATCGATCAGCTGCCTCCTGCACACCCGCTACTAGGAATGTGCCCACAACCAAGGTCCATGCCCTTGACCGGAATCGAACCTGCGACCCTCCAGTCCGCAGGCCGAAGCTCTATCCGCTGAGCCAAACTGGTCTCGGCAATAAAACTTTTGAACAGAGTAATGCCGAAACCGGTTTGGCTCAGTGGACTTCAGCCTGCGGACTGAAGGGCCCAGGTTCGATTCCCGTCAAGGGCACATGCCTGGGTTATGGGCTCAATCCCCACTGGGGGGCGTGCAGGAGGCAGCCAATCAATGATACTCTTTCATCATTGATGTTTCTATCTCTCTCTTTCCCTCTTCCTTCCTCTCTGAAATCAATAAAAATATATATAAAAAAAAAAAAGGAAGGAAGGAAGGAAGGAAGGAAGGAAGGAAGGAAGGAAGGAAAACAGACAGACAGACAAAAAAAATCTAGTTCCTATTTCTGAAAATGAGAAATTGGAGCTCATTAGATCGCCTATGGGGCCTGGGAAGGGGCTGTCCCAAATCAGAAACTATTTAAAGATACAAAGTTAAATAACAAAAACAGTAATAACAAACAATAACTATGTTCATTCTACCAACTTCAGTCTCTCTTTCATAAAAACGTTTGACACTGGGAATTTCCATAGAAATCTCTAAGCACCGCTTTACAGGCCACATCGCTATGTAGTAAGTGACACTCTGGCACTGTGTGTAGGTCCCTCTTCCAGAGGGAGAGAACTGGGGGATGAGGAGAGATGAGGAGGGGCTAAAACCACTATATTCAGTTACGCATCAGTGGCGGGATGTTCTCAAGGACTGCTGTGTAACGTCAGCCGGCACTCCACACCCTGGATGGTGCAGCCCACACACCTAGGCCGACTGCTGTTGGGGAGTAGCAGCCCGCTGACTGCATTTACCACTGTGTGCATCTGTGAGACGCTTTGCTTTGAATGTGGAGAAAGGCACTAGGAGAACTTCACCAGGCGCCAACAGCATAAGGCGGCAGACCAAGATAATTGGTTATAAAAGCTTGTGATGACCAGGATGGGCAGATACAACCCTATTGATAACAAAATAAGTAACTGATAAAAGTTTTGTGCCCACTGGGTTGGAGAGCAATGGAATGTAATATCTCTGTCCTTCTGATCTGATGACAAAGAAATAGATATATTTATATTGATGATGACCTATAATGTGATATCCAATAAACTCCTGGAAAAAACTGTAACACCCCCCCAACCCCAAAAAACTGTTTTTTAAAATCCATTGTTATGATTAAGAAAAGGCAATGGGAAGGGAACTGTTGTCTGACTCGGGTCTTCCCACCTGTTCACTAATAACTTGGAATTCTCTCATTTCATCCTCAGTTAAGGGAGCACACGTCTCGTCGTTTTCACTGTCTTCTTGCCAGCCCATCTCCTTTAACAATCTGAAAAAAGGGAGAATTAATAAATTAGAGCCGCACCTGTTTATGTCACGTGGGAGAGAACATGAACCATTTCACAAAGTCCTCAGAGAACTAGTGCATTAAACAAGGACTTGAGTTATGATTTGGATGAATTTCTGAAAGTGAGTTAACAGATGAGATTAAGCCAAATAAAACATCTTAGATAAGAAGACCAGAATGCACTGCTTAAATTCTGGTGTTTGAGGCTCTCTAGGCTGGAAACTTGCAAAAGGCACTCGTCTAGAAACTTCCAATTTGCTAAATTCGTGGACCAAAAGTAAACGCAATTTCTTACCCACTTGCTCTACCACCACCACTTCATTCTGTCCTAGCTCATCACCAGGTCTTCTACTTTGAAGAGATGGGGCTATCCCGCCCTCATGTGCACTTTGTAACTTATTTGCCTGCTGGTACCATTTCTTGTGCACGTCCGTCTCCCTCCTGAGCACCTGAGCACTGTGAACTGCGTGGTGCTCTGTAATCACGGCGAGGGCCGTCGTAAAGCTTCCTCCAGGATCCAAGCACAACGACTGATGTGGTTATTCTTCTCCTTTCCTTCATCTTAGGCCCATCGGGCAGGAGAAGACCCACCACCTCTCCAGCTGGCAAACGCAAACACCCCGCCAGAGCCGGGCGCCTGGCTCAGGGACTCAAACACTTCTTTTCCAGATGGACATGTTTTACGCGGATCTGGCGTACTTTGCAAAAAATTAATTCTACGTCTTAAGTATCTGCTACTCCTAATTACACCTATCATCTCTCAACTGGAGCCTGCAACGAATTAGCTATGTTGTATGCTTGTATGCCTTTTTAAATAACCTCATACAATATCGGTGTCAGATTCTAAATAAAAATAAATACTAGCCGAAACCGGTTTGGCTCAGTGGATAGGGCGTCGATCTGTGGACTGAAGGGTCCCGGGTTCGATTCCGGTCAAGGGCATGTACCTTGGTTGTGGGCACATCCCCAGTGGGGGCTGTGCAGGAGGCAGCTGGTCGATGATTCTCTCTCATCGGTGTTTCTAACTATATCTATCCCTCTCTTCTTCTTCTCTGTGAAAAATCAATATATTAAAAAAAAAAAAAGAATACTAGACCCGAGTTTTACAAAGAATTAAGATGACGTAAGTAAAACATCTTGCCTACTTGACAGCAGAGAAGGAAACAGATTTGGTGTTTTGCCTCTCCAATTGGTACATGCTGCCTCTGGACCATTAACTAATACTATTTCTCTCATTCCTTTCCACCATTTAACATTTCCTTCCCGTGCCCTGTCTGACCTCTAACCTCTCCTCCGTCCCTATGCCACCCAGTCCAGAGCCTGTAGATGAGACTCTAACCGGTCTCACTGTTAAAACCTGAACAATGCAGGTGGAACAAATCATCTCACGTCACCGAAGTCCAGGCTCCTAACTGTCCATTTCCTCCTGTGCCCTTAGTCCCAGGCTGTGACTGATAACTATATACTTCTGGGATAGCTTTCAAAACAAATGATCTTGAAAGAATGAACGAACAAACAAAAACTAATAACAACAACCTTGTGTTCCCCCACAATTAGAAATCTATCTTAACAAGGTCATCTCTAACTCCATGAAGGATTCAGAGCTTGTCAAGCTATTCCATCCACGGCCCCTAGAACAAATGAGGTAGGCACTCACTCCAAACACCCCCTCTCCCACAGGAGAACCAGCACCTTGCCATGTCCACGTCTCACTCTCAGCAGTGTCACAGCACAGGCAGAGGCCCTGGCACTGCTGCACCTCCTTCATGAAGAGAAGCTGAGCACACAGTGAGTGCCAGGTGCTGGGCACAGTACTGAGCATGCCATACAGACGTACACACTGTGACAGGGACACTCACAGCACAATTCACAAAATGCACAAAGTGCCAACAGCCCAATCCCGTCGGCCTGTGAACAGCAGAGCCGTACAGCGCACGGAGGTAAGAAAAGGAGCATAGAAGTGACACGTGCTGTTGGGTCTATGGACCTAGAAAACATGCTAAGAGAAGAAGCCAGACATAAAGGACAAATGCTTTAAGGTTCTGCTTCTATAAAATAACAAAAAAAGGCATAGCTACAGACACAGGATGTAGATCGGGCTGCCTACAGCAGGAAGGTGGAGGAGTAACCACGGCAGACAAGCCCAGGGTTATTCTGGGTGTATGGAAAGTGCCTAAGACTAGGCTGTGACAACAACTGCACAACTCTGAATTTACTAAAAAAAAAAAAAAAAAAGTCCATGAACTTACTTTCAAAATGTGTGAAATGTACGGCATTAAATCACACCTCAATAAACTGCTAAAAACAATATTATATTCTATAATATCAAAACCCTCAATATAAAAATACAGAAAAGTAAAAATGAGCACTAACCTGTGTTCTGCCTCAAGGGAACTAGAGAGAACATCCGTTTGCGGGAAGGTTGAGGACCGGATGACCTGCTGGGAAATGACAGAGGCATTGCCATTCTCCTGTGGGATTTCATTTTCATCAAAGTTTCGGTTTATATCTCTGTCCTGGTGAGTACTATTGCTGTTATGCAAATTAAATGAGTCTTCATCCTGATTTTTAGGGAATTAACAGTAAGAAAACACTGTTGTTAAAAACTTTAATAAATCCTAGTTCTCTTACGTTGATAACATATAAATGTAATGCTTATAATCATCCTATCTAATAAAGAAAAAATATGCTAACTGACCCTCATCCCGTCACAAAAATGGCAGCACCCACAGCCAATAAAGAGGGAATATGCTAATTGACTGACACGCCCTCAAAAATGGTGGCACTCACAGACAATGAGGGGAGATGCTAACTGATTGTCACTCCCTCAAAGATGGTGGCGCCCAGTCCCCCCAGCCGCCCAGGGCTGGCCAGAGGTGCAGGCAAGCCTCAGATGGCAGCTGCCCAGCCCTCAGGTAACCAGGGCCGCCAAGGCTTGCGCCGCCGGCAGTGGCAGCAACAGAGGTGTGATGGGGCGTCACCTCCCGCTGCCAAGGGCTCCCGGACTGTGAGAGGAACAGGCCAGGCTAAGGGACCCCCCCTCTAGGGCATGACTTTTCATGCCCCGGGCCTCTGCTTAAATTCAGAAGACTTTCTCATAAAATCTGATGGCCTGGCCAGTAAGGCTGTGTTTGAGCATCAACCCAGAAGCCAAGAGGCCACTGATCCGATCCCGGTCAGAGCACACGCCCTGGCTGCAGCTCAATCCCCAGGGGCAGGCCAGAGGCAGCCGATGATGGTTCTCTTACCACTGATTTTTCTCTCACTCTACCTCTACCTTATATCAATTAAAAAATACATAGCCAAGACCGGTTTGGCTCAGTGGATAGAGCGTTGGCCTTTGGACTGAGAGGTCCCAGGTTCAATTCCGGTCAAGGGCATGTACCTTGGTTGCGGGCACATCCCCAGTGGGTGTGTGTGTGTGTGTGTGGGTGTGTGTGTGTGTGTGTGTGTACAGGAGGCAGCTGATCGATGATTCTCTCATCGATGTTTCTAACTCTATCCTTCTCCCTTCCTCTCTGTAAAAAAAGCAATAAAAAATATATATATTTTTTAAATACTAGTTAGACACACAAAACTAAGCTGTGATGGATACACACAGATTATTAACTATAATATTCACATTTTTCAACAAAAGCAAAAACCCAAAGGATGAAGGTAGGCAATGTGGGGAGAAAAAAAATCATATTTGAACAGGAATTTTTTCAATTTTATTTTTGTATAGGAACTACAGAATGAGAGAACTGTACTTTAGGGGAAAAGTCATTAAAGTTGATGCAAGGGTCCTAACTGGTTCTGGACCAAATACTCCAAGGACCCATTACCCAAACCAAGTCACCTTCTCGGAGCCAGCGTGGCTCTCCTCCTCATGCTCCTCCTCCACTCGGTCCCGTTTCAGCGCTTTCAGAAACTCGCTCTTCTTGTCCGTGCGCATTCGGGTCAGCTTGGTGAGACGAGGCTGCTGACTGAGTTTGTCAACAGGTGAAGAGGAATTGGAGCGATTACTCTTAAGAAAAAAATTCAGAGAGATTGATAAATATGTAAACAGAGAACTAATGTCAATGTAACGTTCAAAACCACCACCACAACCTCCTCTTTCACCTTCATCCACAATACAAACCTGATGTTAAGGTCTCTGTCAAAGAGCTTCCTCTATCCCAATGTTTTATCTACTCCATTAGATAAGTAAACAAAAGTATTTTCTCAAAAAAGAAAAAAAGAACTTTCTTATCCCAGAAACAATTAAGGTCTGATAACACAAAGAACTAACTGACTCAAAGTTAGGAGTTTAAATTCTATTTTATGGAATTTCTAAAAACCCTGAAATGTTTAAGCATTTCTACAATACACAGAAAAGCAGTTGTATGCTGTCTTTCCCAGAATTCTCAGCTTCAAGGTCCAATAACAGCTCCCATAAGATCTGTTTACATGTATTTACACACAGGCACACAAAGGGCTTTATCAGTAGGATTTCACCAGGGGACATTTGGACAAGCAGGAGGGAAGGGGGAAAGAATCACGTATTGACATCCCTTTGTTTTCCGTGTTTGTTTTTTTGACAGTGGGATACAGTAGGAAACAGTTTTAGAACTCTAGATCAGGTTTTAACCATGGAAATAAGCCATAATGCTTAACTGTTGGCAAAACGTCTGTACAACTGTAATGAATCTACGCCATAGCTAACCTGCTGACAATGTTGGTACTTCACCAAAGCTCTGGCGTTCTACAATAGAGAACTAACGTGTTTCCCCGAAAATAAGACATCCTCCAAAAAAATAAGACCTAGCGCATGGAAAGATAAGACATCCCCTGAAAATAAGACCTAGCGCAACTTTGGGAGAAAAAATTAATATAAGACAATGTTTTATTTTTGGGGAAACAGGGTAGTTAGTACATGAGATGTGTTCCCACACAGTGCCCAGAGCTCTTAGTACAATTATAGTCACAAGTGTCTTCTGATTCTAAACTGGTCAGAAAACTCCCTGGCATTGAAGTTTCAGAACCTAGCAAAGGACACAAAAATACTTACCTTAGCAGGCATCTCAGCCAGTGAAAGAATGTGCATTTCCCCTCATCCCCCTCCCTCTGTCCCCTAAGTGTTAGTACTAACAAAGCTTCCTCAGCCCCTAATGCATAATTTTATAAGAAAACGTACTCTAAACTGTCATTTTCCTAATTCTTAGTCTTCCTGGTCGGTAGGTATATGGGTATTATTTTGTCTACATTTTGGGATATTTGGAAATCTTCATTAAAACTCATTCCTACTTAATTAATGCTGAAAAGTGTCAGCAAGTAGGAGAACTATCTCAAAACGTGTTGTGAAAGAACTCGTGGGTATTGCTGTAAGGAGACTCTCGTGATTACTAGGTTACATTCCTCAGAAACAATTGTAAAGGCCGCACCTCTTTCACTGTCGTCGTTGATGGACTAAAATTCTTGGCTGTTGACTTAAAAGCATTGAAGTTGCCAACACCGTATGTAGACTCATGAGAAAAAGAAGTCCCAACTTTATTCTCTTTAGTTTGGCTTTTCCACTGAGTAGGCTACAGAAAAGCACACAGACGTTAATATCTATAAAAACACAGATTACACAGAAGAGAGAAGAGAATATAAAATAAAGGGGACTACATGGGGCTTGTAAAACAGATATTTTTGTATTATATCATAATCGTTACCACAGGATTCTCTTGCATCTTTTTCTACAAATAAAATCAAAGCATGGTATTCAAATAAAAACATCTGACTACATTGCAATTTTTTTTCAGTTTTATAAACCTAAAATGAGATTTCTTTTACCTATTGTCAAGAAAACACTAGTGGGAGTTTCAAAAACCTAAAACAGTACACCAAGAAAACAGCATTATATATTGTTATGCAAATATACCATAGATGCATTTAGCAAAACAAGTTTTACAGACTTTATTTACTACTAAAACAAGAAAACACACACGACAAACACATGCCATTTAAAGGAAAATTAAAATCAATGACACACAACCAGTTCCCCACAAAACATTCCAACAATTCAGTGTAAATTTCCTAACACTATTCTCCCAAAATAATTCAACTGATATCAATTACAACATGTGATGTTCACCGTGTGGAACTTACCTTTGTGGGCGGAGCAGCAGGCTTAGGGACCAAGCCTTTATAAACGCTGGGGCCAGGCCCGTTCTTCCCGGGCTGTGCCGGGGCATTCCCTCCAGCAGGAAACCCCGACAGCTGCAAGTCCTTGGCATTGCCTTTCTTGATGACCAGCATCCTGGGCGCTCTAGATGTGGGGTTCGGAGGGTACTCTGCATAGACAAAGCACGAGCAGGCGTCAGTTTAAATTCTAACATAAAAAGAAGAGCATACTCTAAGCCTTGACTGTATTTAAATACACAGCTGCTTCCTGGGTCATGTAAGCTAAGTAAGTATAAGCTATACTCCTGCATAAGAAATACAGCTAAAACATAGCTGAGCAAATCACAGGAAGAACTGAGCCGTGTGAGTAATACAGATAATGGGCCAGCTAGACAGTAGCCTGTCAATGTTAACTATGACCAAAGCAAGATTAGCTCCTAATATATTTTATGTTCATCGCAGTTCTCATCCTAATGGCCCTTAAGACTTGAAATACCAAGTATATTTTCCGCTTTTCCCTTTTGAAAAGAGAATTTTCCTAATTCCTTTTCATTCTCACTTATTTCTACTTGAGTTATGACTGATGAGAGAGTTCTATTTTGACATACCAATCAATTCATTCAAATATTTATTGACCACTGAACTGAAGGCATTTATGAGGTGCAGGGTAACCGACTCAATCCTACATCTGAAAGTAGTACTAAGAATAGCACTTGCTAACTAAAAGCTTTTCTCAAGACCACAGCATGAAACATGAAACATGAAAAACTACTCCTAGAGTTTGATTGATGTCTGTATAATCACACAGGTGTTCCCAATTATTGCAATGAAAATTTCTGAAAACACAAGTTTCATAATTAAGAGTTCAGAATAAAATAATTAACTCAAAGAAAGAAACCCAAGAAAATCTAAATTAAAGTTCTGGTGTTGCATGTAAGAGATGATCCTGTGGTGCAGTGAGCTGCATAGATGTCTTATGGTGATGCTCCACCTCAACCAACCAAACCCAACTTCCTGAGGGGTCACCTCAGAAACTGAACTGCAGGACTCCCGGGACAGAGACTCGCAATCCTCCTTCCACGTGAACAAACCACATCCAATGTCTCCTACTTTTCCCATTTACTTTGCCAATTGGTAAACTGTATGGAAACTACCCAAATTGTTTATTCTTTTACTTTTTATTGTTACTGGGGGAGCACTGGTTAACGGGATCCACAGGCTTCAGGGCTACTTCTTTATGATACATGGTCTGCACACAGCCGTGTGTGACCACCTCCCAGGCAGACCGTCAGTCACCGTGTATGTGGCTGTTTACCCCCCAGAACTCCATCCCTCCCCTGTGTGCTCGCCTCCTACTGTCTGTGCCTGAGCTGCTCAGCGTCATACCCCACGTGATGCAGTGGCATGGTCCTTGCTCTTATTCTTTTAAAGAGAAACGGTCTGTGTTGGTGACAGGCCCTAACACTGACCTTAGAGTTAGAAAGGGGGTGATCTTAGAGAATGACTATAAATCACACGCTCATTGCATCAAGCTCCTTAGCAGGTATTCTCGTTCAATTTAACTTTAAGGCACCTGAAGGAAAGCATGACTATAAATTTTCGTATTGTTAGTGCCCCGTCATCCTCAGAAACAACTGGAATCTACCAATAACTAATTTTCAATATCCTTTTATTATCCTATTGGTCATGCTCCCAATATCTGTGAATATAATAATTATTTTCACTCCTTCCATACAAAGTCAGTGGTAGAAGTGCCTCCATTCTTTTGGAAGGAAGATGAGAAATAAAATACTGCCACATCACCCTAGCTGGTTTGGCTCAGCGGTTAGGGCGCTGGCCTTCAGACTGAAGGGTGAAGGGCATGTACCTCAGTTGCAGGCGCTAAGCACGGCCCCTAGTCGAAGCATGGGGGGTGGGGGGAGCAACTAATCGGTGTTTCTTTCTCTCCTCTACCCCCTGCTCTCTCCCCCCCTCTCTTCCTCTCTCTGAAAAACTAAATGGGAAAATTTAGGTGAGGAATATATAGTTACATGTAATACAAAACAAACTGGCCATATGCTTAATTTCTCATCCTTTCTTTCATTATACTCTCCATAGCTGCCATATAAAATTTGTTTCACTTATTATTCTTTGACATATCACTTAAAAATTTTTTTTCCTCTTTGGCCTCTTCATAAATTTACTAGAATCTCCCTGGTTTATTAGATTTGGACAACATAACTAGTTAATATTTATTAAACACCTATGACATGACCAAGGATTTTACATAGTCAACAATCATTAATACTTTTCTCATGAGGATTATTGTGATGATCCTCATATCTAACACACGACAAAATTCACTCTGAGAGAGTAAGTACAATCTTCCAAAGCCTAAATTAACCAATACGTACAAGGCCGAATGTTAGGGTCGTCTCATTCCAAAGCCCATGCACTCAGCACTGCACTGTGCTGCTGGAGCGCATGGCGCTGCTGGCCAAGCTCCTCCAAAGGTTCGCCTCCCAACGAGAAACACTGACACTGAGACTGCACCAAGTTGTCAGAATAAGAGGCTTGTAAAGGGACACTACCCATGACATCAGGGACCCCGGCCCCCTTCACCATCACACCAACGCCATTTTTAATGGAGTTCCTCATTATCTTGACTCAGAAAATAAACAACTTTATTTTTTTTTTTCCTTCTTCTATTAATACTCATCCTAAGGACATTTTTCCATTGATTTTTTAAGAGAGTGGGAGGGGGAAGGACAGAGACATCAATTGGTTTGCCTCCTGCATGTGGGGCCAGGGATGAAGCCTGCAACCGAGGTACCAGTCCTTGACTGGAATCAAATCAGGAACCTCCTGTCCACAGGCCAATGGTCTATCCACTGAGCCATACCAGAGAGGGTGGAAAGAGGGTGAACAAAAGCACACAGCCAAAGGGTAAAACAGTAACTGGACCGCATCTTCACACTCGGGGAGGACACCGAGTCACATAAGACTCACTATACAAATATTAAACTCAGAGAATCTGTACCTGTTGTGAGCACATTTTTTTAATCCTCACCCAAGGATATGTTTTTACTGTTTTTTAGAGAGCGGCAAGGAGAAAGAAACACTGATGTGGAGAGAAACACTGACATTGGCTGGGACCCACATGAGCCCCAGCAGGGGATGGAACCTGCAACCTAGGACTCTGCCCTGACCAGGAACTGAAGCCACAGCCTATGGTGCCCGGCGACACTCCCGCCAGGGGAGCCAGGCCAGGGCACTATGAACACTATTCTACTCAATAGCCTGTTGACATCGTTTTTATAGACTGATGTTGTTTGAACTTTTTAATTTAATGAAATTTGTTTTGCTTTGCAACAACAGTATGACAGTGTTAAACAAATGAGTTTAACGATTTATGTCAATAGCGGGGGTAAGGCACTTTTCCTTTAACAAACCCTCATGTTACTCATATGAAGGACAGGCTTAAAGAAATGCACTTCTAAAGTAAAAACCATTTCCACGATGAACAAGTAATACTCCTAGCCCTGACAAAATAGAATTTACTTGTGGCAAGTTGTCCAATCAAACCCCCTTACCTTTCTTTTCTCAACCTTGATCCTTGGAATAATCTTAACTGTTCCCATATAAGAAGGACATCAAGGAAAGTGGAGTCATTTCAATACATAATTTATCCATATAATGCTTTTACAAAGATATTTGATAGATTATTCCCTTCTCTTGATCCTGCTTACAAAGTTCCTTTTAAAAAATCAACAGTGCTTTTCAACATGATCTAACTTATGTAATGGAATCATATCTATATGCTTGTGGCTAATATCATTGGAATTCTCTAGAAAACATCCCACCTTTAAAAACCAGTCACCAGCTGGTTTGGCTCAGTGGATAGAGCGTAGGCCTACAGACTGAAAGGTCCCAGGTTCGATTCCGGTCAAGGGCATGTACCTTGGTTGCAGGCACATCCCCAGTGGGTGGTGTGCAGGAGGCAGCTGATTGATGTTTCTCTCTCATTGATGTTTCTAACTCTCTATTCCTCTCCCTTCCTCTCTGTAAAAAATTATAATATCGATAATAAAATATATTTTTTTAAAAACAAAACTAGTCACCAATTTGCTTTGATTTTGAAAGCTAAACAAAATTCTTAAAAATGAACCTTAATGCTCTCAAGCAGTATATCAATTATGAGCAAAAGTCAGATAAGTCCAGCAAGTTATAAAGGAATAGTCACAAGAATTCGGAGATGAAACAAGACTAAGTTTTAAGTTGATTACTAATGACAGGTTTTCATGACTTAGTTTCTTAAGCACTGCATGTCTGTTAGGCTCTGCCAATAACATATAGCTGACAGGTTGTGTCCACACAAAAATAGCCAGTAGGAGTCCTGAAAACACAAACATCAGTCCCTAATTATGTCTCAAATTGCATACAAACCATAATAAACCTATCATTTTATCTCTCCTCACACCCCAAACAAAGCCACACAACTAAATTGTTTTTAAAATTCCCGAGGGCACACTGAAACATCCTGAATATTTGCTTTAGTTTCACATTATGAAAGAATGGAAATAAGATGGACCTAGTGAGCAACAGTGGCCCTGGTTAAGGTCACAGGTAGAGCTGCATGAAGGTGTTTCCAGTAAATCCAATTAGCTTATAAGTAGAATCAAGCTTATGTAACTATTTCTTAAATGGCTTAATTACTTTCCCAAAAGGTTTTTTAAATTGAGATGTTATGTTTAGGCTCTAGCAATTTTTGATCTATAAGAAATAATTTCAGGGACAAACTGATTTATTTTTATATGCATTACATTTCCATTATTAAATTTTTACTTACCTGGAAGGAAGCACTAGAAAAGGTTCAATTGAAGTCTTTCCTAAATTTCTCTCATGTCTTCCTCAGGAACATAATCACTATTTTAAATGTTGCAGTGGGTAAAACAGTATTTGGGAACCCAGGGTGGGGAAGAGGGGAGGGAGGAGCGAGAAAGGAATAATAAAGTGCTATACAATGGAAGTTTCATTGTATTCCTATGGGAAGTACTGGGAATTGACCAATTAACCAAGCCACCATGAACCATTTCTTTCTAATGCAGACACACTTCTCAGTTTACCTAAGACACAGACAGTCAAGAGTGCATCTTCCTTTTAAACATCTTTCAACTATAGTGCTCAAATCCTTATTACACCAACCCTGAAATAGTAGAACCAAAATCCTTTATTAACACATGGTCTTCTCAATATTTTCAAAGATGTATTTGCCTTTAAATCATTTCTAAACTTATCAAATTAACAAAGGATCAATACCAATAGTATCTATAGGAGATTTTATATGACAAATGCTCACTGACATTCTTGACTTTTTATGTACTTTCATTCTAATCAAATCCAAATCATTCCTAATTCCTTAGAGAATCTATTTAACACCTTCCAGGTGATTCTATATTCTTATGCAATCAGCTGTTCCCAGAAAAACTGAATAATAAGGAAACATACCTAAGAGAGGAGCTTGGGAGATTTTTTTGGTTGGGTATGTGTGTGTCTGGGCGTGTAGGCCTGGGGAGAGTGGTAGAAATACTAATTTGCAATACAGAAAAAACAATGCCATTCACATGGTTCTCACAAAAGTGTCTGACCGCCCCCACCCCCACCCTCAAAAACCCTTAAATCAATCTGGAGATCAAAAGAAACAAAGTAATTCCTCAGAGCATTACCCCATAAATACAATAAAGAACAGCACAGGAAGTGGCAAAGTTTAAAATAATGCCTTTATTGTTAGGACTAGTATGCTGCCACAGCCACAATCCTTGTTTTGATAAGTTGTTGACTTTCAGTAGAAACATACAAATGAACGTGTACAAGTTCCAAAGTGAATGCACCACCTTTGAATTTGGTATCAAATAACAAAAATTTATTTTTCGGATATCAAATCTTTATATTGTAAATGTTTCCATTATTTTAAACTTCACTTGAATCTTTAAAAGGCTGTCTAATTTATACTAAGTGCAGTTTAAATCTTTTGTAAGATTCTATTAAACACTAAGCAATTTTAAAGAAAACGGAGTTATTACCAGAAAAACTGTCATTAAGCTTTGACAATCAAAAAGCAAATAAATTCAAACAGACTAGTTCAATAGGCAAATTGGTATATTTCAATACTCTGTGTAACCATTTTCATAGGCATGATTAGAAGTATGAATCTTTCCAGTTAACAAGTTTTCAACTTTGAAAAACTAAAAATTAATTTAAAACTAAGTCTTTTCTTTAGATGATGATTGGGGTACTCTCCAAATACGTCCATTCATTACATTAACGTAAGACCGTTTTTTAAAAATTCATGTTAGTAAACTTAATGGTACAAATCAATTACTCTGACTCAAAAATCTATCTTGTTTTTAAAAGCTAAGTGCCACCCTTTTGTAGCTAAGCACATCAAAATTTATTTAAAAGAAAAGGTTTAATTCTGCCCTATTTATTTTTAAAAACACAGAAAAGTAAAACCTACAAATAACATTTTATACCCCTCAAAGATAAATAAAAAAGTACTTACCCCATACGCCCGCAGCTAAAGACTTATTTTGATTTGGTTCTCTCTCATATTCAGGATTTAAAGACGGCTGGAAGTTGGAATGAAAACAACACAAAAAAATGTTTAACCTCTCACATTTAAAAAAAACAAAAATCCTTTTAAAAGTAACCTCAAAATCATACTGAAAAATGACATCATCATCTCAATAATTAGAGTAATTATAATCATAGCCTTAATTTTCAACTTAGTCTGCTCATTATTATAATGATTACTACCTATCCTCCCTCCTCGTAGGAGAAAACAAGAACAATGTCTTTAAATATGTCCCTCCTCCCCGATTGCATGAGAGAAAAGTGTCCAACACCTCCCCCCACCACACACACACACACACACACACACACACACACACACACACACACACGGAGTGCAGTCTGCATCCATCTGAGGAACATCCTTTCTCAGCACGAGGTCAAGAGCAGCGAAGAGGAGAACCAAATTGCCCCCCAATGCTAGTTTTCATTACTGGATGCTTTCATTAGCAACTCGTTCTCAAAGCCAAGTGCAAATTCTATTTTAACAAGTGATGCTCGGAATATTAAAAAGAATGGAGCCCTCGCTGGTGTGGCTCAGTGGATAAAGCATCAATCAGCCTGCAGACTGAAGGATCCCAGGTTCGATTCCAGTCAAGGGCACATGACCCAGTGGCAGGCTCGATCCCCAGTAGAGGGGCGTGCAGGAGGCAGCCAATCAATTATTCTCATCATGGATGCTTCTCTCTCTTCCTTTCTGAAATCAATAAAAATGTATTTTTTTAAAAAAGAAATGGAGTTGAGCACTGAATGTGTGCTCTAAAGCTAATCTTAATAGATATGTTTACCATCTAAAGTCCTAAGTTTCCATTAGTTATATCAGATATGTCCCATATTACCTAGCAACACAGCATGCCATGCCATAAAGGTGCTTAACATGTGTTGAAAAAATATGATCAAGTGATGAAGGCTTAGATCTGGATGTGTTGAGTTAGTATAGCGCTGGGGTGTTGATCTGTGAGTGCCTTGGGTGGGGCCTGAATGAGGCTGGTTGACCTATTTGGAAATGTCTTTTGTGTGAAGTGTATCATTGGGCATGCGGAGGTATTATTTTTTTTTTCTTTGTTATATTTTATTGATTTTTTACAGAGAGGAAGAGAGAGGGATAGAGAGTTAGAAACATCGATGAGAGAGAAACACCAATCAGCTGCCTCCTGCACACCCCCTACTGGGGATGTGCCTGCAACCAAGGCACATGCCCTTGACCGGAATCGAACCTGGGACCTTTCAGTCCGCAGGCCGAAGCTCTATCCACTGAGCCAAACCGGTTTCGGCTGGAGGTATTATTGATATGAGAAAATGCTAAGTAACAGATTTACTATCTGAAAAGGGATTTACTATCGGGGAAAGGGAGGGAGGAAGAGACTGAACATAAACTGTGCACCTATGGATGAGGACAATGGGGGATGGGGAGGGGACGGAGGGTGGGGTGGGAACCTGGTGGAGGGGGGAAGAAATGAGGAACCTTTGTAATAATATGAACAATAAAGATTGATTTAAAAAAAAAATAAAAATGAATCCTCCCATGACAACATTACCAAAAGCCCCAAAGGGCATGCATGCAAACTAGTATGGATTCCTGACACAAACTCAAGACTGGTGGCAGTTCTATGTGTTTTGTCAGGACCCCTCTAGTATGAGACAGCAGACTATCGGTCTGCATGCCAGGACTAGGATTGTAATGGCTAATGCCGGCCATCTTGGGAGTGGGGGTGGAGCATAATAATTGTAGCAGCAACTAGGTTGCATTGAGTGCTTGCTATATGTCAGGCATTGTTTTATTAGATGACATATTTGTATCACTCATTTAACCCTCACAACTCTATGAGAGCACACTGTTATATTTCTGATTTGTTTAGATTATAAAAATTCCATTTCATAGTAACTAGCGAGTGGAAAAATGGGAAGGTACAGTGATTGCAAGGTTACCAGATTATAGGATAGAAACTAAGCATAATTCTTGTCTCTTTTTTAAAATATTTTGTTGATTTTTTACAGAGAGGAAGGGAAAGGAATAGAGAGAAACATCGATCAGCTTCCTCCTGCACACTCCCTACTGGGGGTATGCCCACAACCAAGGTACATGCCCTTGACTGGAATAGAACCTGGAACCTTTCAGTCCGCAGACCGACGCTCTAGCCAAAGCGGTTTCGGCTCTTGTCCTCCTCTTTCCCTCACCACTTCCCTGACCCAAATCCAATCTGTCTTATTCTTTCACTTCCACCCTCCACCCAAACTACCATCAAACTACACCTCAAACCATGTATCTTCGCCGGTCACAGCTCCCACCCAGTCAAGCTATTTTCTCCTGAACAACTTGGACTGGCCACTTCCTAACTGGTCTCTCCGCTCTCATCGTAATCCGTTCAAGTTCTAACTACTGGGATCATCTTCAAATCAACTAAATCAACTCACCCGGCTTCTCCCAAGAGGCTTCCAAAATGGTTTACATTGCAGGCAAGAGGCCTGCGCACTAAACCCTTCCTCTCTCTGAGGGAGCTAACACGACTCTTCCCCAGCTCTTCCCAGTCTCCGGTCGTAACAACACTCGCTCCTCCAAGTCCCAGCTTACAAGACACTTCCCTGCAGAAACTTCTTCTGATCTGGTAAACCAGAGTAGCCAATCACATCCTGTCTAAATCCTCTGCAAAATTATTTTTTCTTTTTATGGTCCTAACGTCCCCAAAAGAATGTAACTCAGTAACAGTGGGGGACTTTGCCTATCTTATTCACCTATGTGTTCTGAGGGCCAAGAAGAGTTAGACGCTGAGCCACTCAAATGAATGCTGAATGGAGAATGAGCATACACACAAAAAGAAATTACCGGAACCACAAACACTAGGTAAGAGTATACACTAGATCAATTGTTATGTAACTGGAAACATGTTTAGAAAAGCCAGCCACATGGTGAGCTTCACCAATAGGAAAAATTAAGAAAATTTGGTTTTAATTAGTTCATACTTGTTTTTAGTAGTGGAGTTGCTATTCCTAATGTAACTGACCTAGACTAACAATTAGTTTTCCTTCCCTGACCACAATGAAACTTGTGAATAGAGAAAGTAGCTGAAAGAAGACAGCTATATTGGGATTCACGTAAGCGTCATATATAAGTAATCATGTTGAGAGAGGCAATCTAAGTAAAATGCAATGCACTTGCAAACAGGCCACTAGAACTCAGTCATTATTTCTGTGGGAAACTGTTAAAATTTTTATAAGGAGCCTGACCAGTGTGGCTCAGTGGTTGAACACTGACCTATGAACCAGGAGGTCAAGGTCATTCCCAGTCAGGGCACATGGCCGGGTTGCAGGCTCGAGCCCCCGTGGGGAGCATGCAGGAGGCAGCTGATCAATGATTCTCTCTCATCATTGATGTTTCTCTCTCTCCCTCTCCCTTCTTCTCTGAAATCAACAAAAATATATTTTAAATAAACAGGTTTCTCTAAGGAATAAAATGACAAACTTATCAAAGGGTCTTGAAGACCATGGTGGCAGGATACGGGCATAAAGAGGGAGGGAGGAAGCTGTGGACTGGACCTGTGTTCTCAGTGAATGATGGGCTTGTGCTAGAAGAAGCACTTACAAAAACCACATTTGTACTACAATGACAATTCACTCACAAAGTCCTCAGCCTCGAACTGCTTGCGTTCTCTCCTGTCTTCCTTCCTCCCTGGCTCATTGTCAGGGATGCTGTTCTCGTGGAGTCCTGGGCTCTTTCCAGAATGGAAAACACTGCTCCGAGCCCGGGAGCTCCCGCCATGGTAGCCCCCTCGGTGGTTTATGTTCTCCGTGCCGTTTCTCCCGTGTGCACGCCATCCATTTTTCTCTTTCCTTCCAAAGTTACCTTTTTTGATAAAAGTATTACAAATTCAAAAATGTTATACTTAAAGTCTCAATCACAATCAAAACGTTCCTAAAAGATTATGAAAAATAATTTTCTTAAATTACCTCCACTGGGACGTCCAATACCAGAATCAAAGCCGTCTGAAGAGTTGTGTCGTCGACGACTCACATCGTAACGATTTTCTGTCCATGAAAAGTGGTCAGAATGCTTCTCAAAATTCAATGAGGGCTGAAACAAATTATAAGCATATGCGTAAACATATACATGAATCCTAAATATAACTTTAAAAACGAACACTCTGGCTTTATTTCCCAGAATTTAAGCGGTTAGGAAGTTGTTGTAGCTATTTCAGTGTTTGGTAACTTGTAAGATGGATGTGTTGTGGGTCTGTTTTCTTCTACCTCGTGAAAGCAGGAGCACCATGCTGAACGAGCGTGGCCACTACCTCTACCCACCCCAACATTTGGAAGGTAAAATAGTATAAAGAGAACGAGGCAAAATACGGACATCATCCAAAACCACTCGAAAGCTGGCTGAGTGGGAAATCTACAACTAGAAAGGAGAGAGGCTCACGGATCAGGGGAGCCGCAAAACACTGAGGTAGGGAGATGTGAGCGCAGAGAGGAAGGGCTGCTTGGCTGGCGGGAGGGAGGGGAAAGAAAGGAAGCCCCCACCTGCACTGAACCCCAGCCCCGGCCGAAACCCCGTGGACCCAAGCTCATACGGGTGGAGTCTGGAATGTAGAGAAAGGCACCCGGAGACTCAGAGACTGGGAGACTCAGGGGAGTCACAGCAGGCAGGGTCTAGAGGCACATCTGCGTGCGAGTGAGTGCACACAGAGAGGTCTGACCTTGGAGTCTCCTGCAGCCTCTCCAGAGCAGGAGTCAGAAGCTCCTCACTGCACTGAACCCCAGTTCTGACTGCACTGAGCACTGAACCCAATTCAGGGCGAGCACCTGCAGCACCCAGGCTCTTACAGAGGGAATCTGGACTGTCAGGTGGATCCACGGAAGGCAGAGGTCTGAGGCGCGCGCACAAGGGCTCGGCTGACGGGAAGCCAAGACTGTCGTGTCGGCTCAGCCCTGAGACTCCGCCCCATCCAAGCTGAGCGCAGAAGCTTTTGCAAGTCTGATCCTATAAGACTGTCTCCAATACAGAAGGTATCTCAGAGTAGACACAGCTGATATTCACATTCAATTGGCCTGGAGGTCAATTCCTCTCAGGGATACCAACAACAATCAAAACTTAACTACAACAAGGCTGTACACGCAGTCCACAAAGGGGAGCACCAAGAGTGTCTACCTCAGGTAACTGAGGAGGCTGACCCACCGGCCCATGTAAGACACCAAACACAAAGCCATCCTACCAACTCAGGGAAGCAGCGAAAATGCCGAGACAAGGAAACAGATCTCAATCGAAAGAAATGGAGGAGAACAAACGACTAGATATAGAGTTCAAAATGACAATTATAAGGTTCTTCAAGAATTTCCTAGAAAAGGCCGATAAATTTAACAAGACCCTCGAGGATATGAAAAAGGACCAACTAGAAATAAAACATACACTTACTGAAATAAAAAATATTATACAGAGACCCAATAGCAGACTAGAGGAATGTAAGAATCAAGTCAAAGATTTGGCATACAAAGCGGCAAAGGACACTCCTCCGCAGAAGCAAGAAGAGAATCCAGAAAGTTGAAGATAGGGTAAAGAGCCTCTGGGACAACTTCAAGCGTACCAACATCAGAATTATGGAGGTGCCAGAAGAAGAGAGCAAGATACTGAAAACCTATTTGAAGAAATAATGACAGAAAACTTCCCCCACCTGGTGAAAAAAATAGACTTACAAGCCCAGGAAGCACACAGAACCCCAAACAAAAGGAATCCAAAGAGGACCACACCAAGACACATCATAATTAAAATGCCAAGGGCAAAAGACGAAGAGAGAATCTTACAAGCAGCAAGAGAAAAACAGTTACCTATAAGGGAGCACCCATTCAATTATCAGCTGATTTCTCAACAGAAACTATGCAGGCCAGACGGGAGTGGCAAGAAATATTCAAAGTGATGAATAGCAAGAACCTACAATCAAGATTACTCTACCCAGCAAAGTTATCATTCAGAATTGAAGGGCAAATAAAGAGCTTCACAGATAAGAAAAAGCTAAAGGAGTTCATCACCACCAAACCAGTATTATAGGAAATGCTTAAAGGTATTCTTTATGAAGAGGAAAAAGAAAAAGAAAAGAAAAAAGTAAAGATAAAAATTATGAACAACAAATACATATATATATATATATATATATCAACAAGTGAATCTAAAAATCAAGTGAATTAAAAATCTGAGGAACAGAATAAACTGGTGAATATAATAGAAATGGGGGCAAAGAAAGGGAGTGGATAATTATCAGGGGGAAAGGGGTGTGAGGGGTGCAGGAAGAGACTGGACTAAAATAGTACACCTATGGATGAGAACAATGAGGGAGAGAAGGGTAAGGGCAGAAAGTGGGGTGGAAACTTGGTGGAAGGGAGCTATGGGGATGGGGGGGAGAAACAATTGTAATAATCTGAGCAATAAAGATTTATTAACTTTAAAAAAATACTGCCTGTGAACCATGAAAAAATAAAATAAAATAAAATAAGAACGCATACCTGGGTTGTAGGCTCAATCCCTGGCCCAGGTCAGGGTGTGTGTGGGAGGCAACCAATGGATGCGTCTCTCTCACAATTAACATTTCTATCTCGTCCGTCCACCTCCCTTCCACTCTATCTAAAAATCAATAGAAAGGTATCCTCGAATGAAGATTTAAAAAGAAAAGAAAAAAAAGAATGTGAACAGGCAATTCACAGAAATGTAATCTAATGTCAAAGAACAATGACAATGCATTTTGTAACCAAGACTGGCAAAAATGTTAACTCTGATACTCTGACAAAATGTTGGCAGGAGTATAACTCCATACATCACATGGGAGAGAATTTAGCAATATCTAATCGAGTCCCAGCAATTTCTCTTTTTCTTTTTCTTTTTTTTTTTTTTCTTTCAATTTCTCTTTTAACTATAGGTTAGAGCCTTGTTATCAGAAGTTTGGTCCATGGACAAGCAAAATCAACATCACTCTGAACAGTTTGGAACTAGGGTCCTATCCTGAAACCTACTCTAATCAGAACCTGCATTTTAAGAAAACCCCTGAGTTATCTTATCACACATTTGAGGTTAAAGAGCACTGGTCTAGAAAATCTTACCCACTTACAAGGAAACATGACAAGAATAGTCAATGCAGGGCTCTCTACAGTAGCCAAAAGGTATAAATAACCTGAACTAAAACGGACAAATGAAAGGTGGCAGAGGCACCAGGCAGAATACTCGACAGAGTTGTCTATAATTACACTAAATCTGCAGATAGCAACATGGAAAAAAAACTCAAAGGCAGAATTAATGTAAAAGCAAAATGAAGATATATAAATGCATCATTTATATAACAACTTTACACATGCAAAACAATACTACTTATTAGCATTCACACAGCAAATAGTAATTAAGGAACATAGAGACTACCTGTGTTTGTGGGGGGGGATTAAAACAAACAAGGGTTATAAATAAGTAAACTGAACTTCACCTATACATTTAATGTTTTATTTCCAAGAGATCAAGTAAAACAGCAAAATATTAAGATAGGGGTATTGTGGGTGTTCACTCAATTCTCTCTACACTTCTCCATACATTTAAATATTTCACTAAAACCTTCTACACTTTTAAAGAATTACCAAGACAAACATGCTGTAGAAAAAATATGTGCCATATTAATGGCAAGCAAGTCCCACAATATGAAAAGCTATTACAAATCAAGAAATGGACCACAGCCAAAACCGGTTTGGCTCAGTGGATAGTGTCGGTCTGCGGACTGAAAGGTCCCAGGTTCGATTCCAGTCAGAGGCATGTACCTTGGTTGTGGGGACATCCCCAGTGGGGGGTGTTCAGGAGACAGCTGATCAATGTTTCTCTCCCATCAATGTTTCTAACTCTCTATCCCTCTCTCTTCCTCTCTGTAAAAAAAAAAATCAATAAAAAATATTTTTAAAAAAAAGAAAGAAATGGACCACAATAACGAAGTTCTTAGAAAGTCTTCTTAACACAAAAATATGCTCAATAAAGTACCATTTTTCACCCAATTTCACAAAGACTCAAAAATGTGAAAACAGCCAGTATCACAAAACTGAAACAAACAGACAAAAAAAAAACCCCGGCCCCCTCGTAATATTTTGATGGAATTTATAAATTGGTGCAATTTTTCCAGAGTAATTAGGCGCTATTCACCAAATATAAAATCCTTCTGATCCAGTGATTCTACTGCTAGGAATTCACTTTACAAATATATTCCTGCAATTTAGTCCACTAACAGATGCTAATTAAGCAATCCCTGCAGACCCACTCGGTAAAGATGATACAGCCACTGAAAGGAGTTGGTCCCTGACTAGAGAGGATGCTGAGATGCCATCCCGAAGGGGAAGGAAACAAGCCATCCTGTTCACTAAAACCAGGATAAAGACATATTCTGGCGCATGAGTAAAAGCATCCTGGTATTATCATTCCTAAAAATTAATCTCCTACCTAGCAATCAAGAAAAGAAAGTTACTAAACTGACAGCATTTAAAGTCAGATACACATGCGTTCCTATCCTGGGCCGAGAAGTATGTAACAGGTCACTCATCTCTCTCAACCTGTACTCTCATCTGTAAATGAGAAAACACCGGAGTATCTACCACTTACAATTTTTGTCACAGAAAGTATTTACACAGTGACTGGTATGTAGTAACACCTCAAGAAACATTAGATAACACAATGAACAAGGAAGAGACCATCTCTCTCTCTTACACATTTTCATTCTTCTTCTGAATCCCTTAGAATATCTGAGTCAGTTACAAAAAAAATTATACATAGTAAACAGAATAGATTGAATACTATACCAACTCTGATACTCTGAATAAACTCAGCTACCCTCTGACTGGATTTTCTGATCCTCTGTTGGCCTAGTTTAAATAGCACATACTTTTCATGCAGGCTCACATTGCTAACACTGCTGACCAGTACAGTATTATTCATTGTTTTTTAAATGTTACCATGTCAGAATCAATAAAGCACTACTGCTACACTTTAGCCATAGAAATAACTACAGAACACTGAATACAAATATGAAAATGTATTGACTGTAGCAGAATCTCACGTTTTGGTTTAAAAAGAAAAAAAAAATTCCCCCTTCACTTTCCTACCACCCATCTACTCTTAATACCACACCTCTGGCATTTTCTTTTTTTCAAACAATTACTGCAATAAACTACCTGTACGCCATAAGCATCTATAGACGCAATCAGCAGCAATTCCTTTTTAAATTAAATTCTAATTATTGTGGCAGTTAACTGGCAAAAAGATGCTTCAGCTTAATGACCAATCATTTTATTGCACTTCCTAAGGTAGGATGATGAGAAAGAAGTATCAATGACAGGGCTTATCTAAAAAGGAACCTAATTTTTCAGTATCTATAACCATTTCAGTTTGGCATTCTTCCAGTAATAAAATTGTTACTTTTGACAAAATGCAGGTCAGACCCTATTAAAAGGTGATGAAATCTGTACCAGTTAGCATTTTTAATGGAAAATGAACAAAAGGCCATAACAGCCCAGCCAGTGTCGCTCAGTGGTTGAACATTGACCTATGAACCAAGAGGTCTTTGCTTCGATCCCCAGTCAGGGCACAAGCTTAGGTAGTGGGTTCTATCCTTTTGGGGAGAAGAGTCGGGGACTGCTGGAGGCAATCTGATCAATTATGTTTCTCTCATCTATGTTTCTATCTCCCTAGCCCTCTCCCTTCCTCTTAAAAAACAAAAAAAAACAAACATATTTTTAAAAAAGAAAATATTAGTGCACCACAGATGTATGCTTTTTAGTGAGACCTACATGTATACAAAAACATTGTGAAATTTACTTTTGTCTGGGTTCCAATAAACACTTCAAAAGGCAATGCCCTATGCCAGATATGATCAATGTAGTTTAAAATCTCACCACATGATGGGGCTAAAATTCTACACACCTCAGAAAACTACTGAAGTTCTGAAAATATTTTTACCCTTAAGTCCTCGTATCATCCTTCAAACCAATAAATGAAAGACCTCCATTGAGTTCAAGCAGAGAACCCACAGTAATTATTATTTATTCCACTTATATAGCATAAGATTTAAAAGGGCTCTGTAGAAAACAGCAGGTTAATTATAAATGAGAGGCCATAAATAGTGATTCTGAGATGAAAGGATAAGACAGAAGGCAACGTGTTTCCCCAAAAATAAGACATCCTCTGAAAATAAGAACTAGCGTATGGAAAGATAAGACATCCCCTGAAATTAAGACCTAGCGCAACTTTGGGAGAAAAAAATAATATAAGACATTGTCTTATTTTCGGAGAACAGGGTAATATAAAAAGTTATTATTAGAAGGTGTGTGTTTATGTTTATCAAAACTACTTTGGGTAAAGTACAAGGAACTAGTTTCAAATACTACTAGTTAAGAGTTGTAATTGATACTATTTCTGGAGGCAATTTAGAATAAGTGAGTGAAATTTTAGAATAGGAAATCCCAATTCTCAAAAGTCATCACCACTGTTTTTTATGAAGGCCTACATCCAGATCGCGAGTCCGGTTCTAGAATGCAGGATTTCACCAGACATAAAAGTAAGGCTCTGTCAGCCGCAGATTAACATTTGAACGAAGACTTATTCTCAAACGTGTTCATGTTTTGCAACTAACTTTTCAGGTGCTGGTAATTTTCTTGATCTGCTTACAAATAAAAACAAGTCTCATATACTCATTTCAGAGAGCATGAATAAGAGAGAAGAGGGAAGCAGAAAGTTCATGTATCCAAGCTCTGAAGTGAGCCTGGGGAAATGAGCCCACTAAAGGGAAGAGGAGAGACAGCTGAGGGAAAATTAAACAGCAATTCCAGACACCAACCCATCAGAGGGCAAGGACTAAGCAGTCTGTTACTAAGAGGTGATCCAGTGGCTTCCTCAGTAGTAGTCTCCACTCCCAGCAAGTTCAAATCCCACTTCACAGTCTATGAAATGGAATGCCCCATCATTTTACAGAACACCAAAAGTGAGTCCTACGGAAAGAGCACAGGAAACGCCTCCTGGCTCATACCAACTCAGGACAACAATGAGCCTTCCAGCGAATCAGCCCGTATAAAAAGGGTCAGTTTCTATGGTTACTAAGATCCAGTGTCAAACATTAAAATGCTATTGCCTAGGAATTCTGTCACCCCATGCAACTTTTTCAACATATCATAGGCCAAATTTATTATGATCTAACAAGTCCTCATAAAATTGTTCTCAGAAGAGCTGTTTTAATACTGTTCATAAAACCTGGTAGAAACTTTATTAATAGGCAGCAGATGATCAAGACTCTCTCTTGATTTCTTCAAATTAAGGAAAGAAGTGGAAGACAGCTATTAAACCAACTAGATTGCCTCTAACAATTCCAAAGTCCCTCACACAAACTATGCCGTTAATGGTATTTTAGTAAAATGAACAGTTCTAGATTAGTGAGTCCTGATATGTAACAATATTGCAAACTCCTCAACATTCCTGAAATTTTAGTTATGCGCCATTCAAAGTCTCACTGATATAAAAAATAAGTCTTTCAGTTTTATGGAAAGACTTCAAAAACCTCCACTTAAAAAGAAAACAACAAACATTGCCTATCTCAAAGTAAGGCAATTTATCAGAAAAATAATATAGAAAATGGTAGGATGCAAAAGTAATATTCAATATATTAACTGGTTTGAAATAGTGTATGAAATTTTGATTAGTACAAAAGACAACCTTGAAGTAAATGGTTTCATGATGATGTTATATTGAAAACTGACTTTTTATATAATGAAAACCAATAGATTAAATAAAAACTAACTTAAATGTTAATACAAAAAGTATTTATCCGCAAAAATATTAAGCCTTCACGTTTTAACTACACTTGTGCAGAATGTGAACAAAAGAGACAGAAAGAAAAGAGAGAAAGATGCAAGGAAGAGTACCTTTGTTGATGATGGTGGAGTGGGAAAATTAAGCCAGGCTGGAGCAAAGTCATGCTGCGCCATTTAGGTCCAGTCTCTCCGACTCAATGAAACAAGGCTTCAACACCTCATGGCAAGTCCCTGTCACATAAAAACGGAAGGAATTAGACCTGCAGCTCCTGGCCAAATGATCTTCTTATTGTGTCTCTTTAAATTACAATGATCTTACTACTTCAAGGCTCCACTTATTATGGGATTCTAGGAAAGGCAAGTGATAGAAGCTACACCAATGGGGTGGGGGAAGGGCCCTGGGGAGAGGAGTTAGTGCACAGGGAAGGAGGGAATTTCTGAGGTAATAGGGTATTATCTAGGATTGTGGTGATGGTTACAAATTTGTACATTTGTCAAAACTCATCAAATTGTACACTTAAAATGGCTAATTTTTTTGTAAAAAGTATTATCTCAATAAAGTTTATTTTTTAAAAATGAAAATGGCCTTATCACAGACTATACATTCAATGTCTCCTGACATCACACAATAGGATGCACATACCACCATCTATGATGTACTCTTGCCCCATCCCAGTTGGGAATAAGGAATCTGATCTAACTACCAATCTGCAGGAAATTCAACCTAGATAAACAAGTGAAAGGACACCTGAAGGAACACTCTGACAAATCCAGATCACATGATGTTCTACAGGTCAAATGATCTTCAACAAATAAATGGTTCTGAATAGGCAGATCAATCAAATACAATGTGTGGGCCATATATATATATCCTTACTCAACAAACCAATCCTTAAAAAGTAAAAATTATAGAATAATAAAACACTTGAACATGAACTGAATATTAAATGACATTTAAAAACTTATTAATCATTTTAGATGTCATAATGGTTAATGGAATTATGGTATTAAAAAAGATGTACAAAAGTTTTTACAATTAAAATTGATATAACTGGAATTGCTTTAAAATAAACCACGAAATGATTAATAGTTTTATAGTTGAAATAAGGTTGTCAATGTTTATAAATATTGGTACTAGGAGTGGTATAAATCCTCCTCTCTACTTACATGGTTGAAATTTTTCTTAATTAAGAGGTTATTTTCATCATAATCATCACAATAGGTATCTATACTAATAGAAGAGAAAGATGCAAACTGTCACTTTGCTACGCACACTAGCCAATCAGGACTGAGTATTCAAATTAATCCACAACGATGGCAGGTTAGTTTGCATACACAGCTGCTGAGTGGCCAAGGAGGCCACTTGCACACGCACTGGCACCAAACGGCCTGGGTCCCAGGTGCAAACAGGACCAGAACCATCTGTTTAGGATTCTGTCACAGCTGCTGCCACAATCGCCCCTCAGGTGCAAGCAGCGGCTCCGGCACTGGCAATGGGTGTGATCAGGGCTTGCACCAGTAGCAGGTGTGAGCACTGGCTGGGACTGCAATACATGGGGCAAAGAATTTCCGGTTACCACCAGAGGCTCTCCCAATGACAGCAACCAGCGCCCCGCCTTTGTCTGGTGCCCCTGCTCACCTGCTCCACCATCCTATCACTGCCAACACCCATCATGTTCCATACACCCCACTGGTGGTCAGGTCATAGTGACCGGTTGTTGCGCCATTCAGTCTATTTGCACATTAGCCTTTTATCATATAGGATTTTGACAAGAAGCTAAATATTAAGCTGCTTTGTGATACAGTGTTACTTTCCCAACAACTTTTTGTTGTTGAAACTCTTAAGATTATAATCCTAATAACTCAAAAGAAATGAAAATTTTTTATAACTTGTACCAAATGACAATTCACATGAAACTCCAGCGAACTTAAATGAACCAATAATTTAAAATTTATCATTTTATACAGGGTCTCATCCAAAATGATGGTTAAGTGAGAAGTTGTATACTGAACACCATCCCTAAGAGACAACCATCAACATTACCTACGCATTTCTGCAATGTCTTCAATGAACTGTAATTTAAATCCAGCTCTTAAATAAAGAATGACTAGCTAATGGCAGAAGCGTTTTCATGCTCTGAAAAAAGTAAAGAGCAAAAACTAGTTCACATGATGGCATCAGGATATGCCAACCCAAAATATACCACTTTGACAAAAGAATAGTTTTGAGCTGAAGGCATTTGAGTTCCCAAAATCCCCCATCTACCTAAAGCAGAGCCTCCCAAAACAATTTATCAATCCCCTACAATGGAGCAACTCCAACCTTCTCTCTGGGAGACAGAAACAATCCACAATCACCCAAACATTGCCACAAACTATCATTTCTCCCATCAATTCTCCTGCAGGCCATTTACCTGTCTTTCAAAAACAGTCATTTAATTTTTCATTAAGTTCCTTTATCCCTTTCTCTTTCCCCTATTACTAGATATCAACATTCTAACCATCTCTTGACTTACTCATCTCTGAACACTCCCAAACGTGAGCACATGCTAATAATGAGCTTCTGTTGTCTCTTGTGCACTGTCTGCTGTCAGTCTGACAGACAGGCCCCCAGTCACAGAACCCACAAGTGTGGAAGGAAAAAGAAATCCCACTCCTCTACATGTGTAAGGGAAAGTGAGTTTCAAAAGCTCCGCCCTACTCATTTTCTTTTCACCATGCTTTGTGCCATCTGATTTCATCCATCTTTCTTTCCCTGTATAAATGTTATGGGTTGAACTGTGTTCCACCCCCTCCAAATTCGTGTTCATGTCAGAATTTAATCATATTTGGAGATATGATCTTAAAAGAGGTGACTAACTTAAAGGGCACTGTTAGGGGTGGGGCCCTATTCCAATCTCCTGTGTCTTTCTAAAAAGAGGAAGTTTGGACTTACAGAGAACACCAGAGCAATACAGTACAAAAAACAATATGAACAGACAGCAAGAGCTGTGGTCATCTGTAATCCAAGAAGAGAGGTCTGAGGAAACCAACCTGCCTGCATCTTTCTGTTCAACAGCTTTCTAGCCTCCAGAACGAGAAAGTAAATGTGTAATATTTTGTTGCAGCAGCCCTTGTAAACTAATGCAAATAGCAATATTAGAAATACACTAGTTAAAATATTTATTATTTCATTTACACGTATATCAATTGATTACTACCAAGAGGAAGGTTGCAAATAAGCAGTCACTCCTGTTAATACACCAGGGAATCAAGTTTGTTAGGAATCTCCTACCAGATTCTAGGTCTAAAGGCCCCATCCTATATAATAAAAGGCCAATATGCAAAATTGACTGAACAGGGGAACGACCACCAGGGGGCAGACGGCACACTGACCACCAGGTGGCAGATTCTCAAGGCAGGAGCTGCCCCCTGGTGGTCACTGTGCTCCAACATGGGGAGTGCCACTTAGCCAGAAGCTGGGCTCATGGCTGGTAAGCGCAGCGGCAGTGCTAAGGATGTTTGACTGTGGGCTTAGCACTGCCTAGAACATCAGCTGGACACCCCGGAGGGCTCCCGGACTGCGGGAGGGCATAGGGAGTCCCCTCCCCCCAAATATACAAATTTTGTGCACAGGGCCTCTAGTAGATATAAAACAGTTAAGATTTTTGAATGCTGCCAGTATGAAATTATACCCCAATTTCTCTCACCCAATTTACAACTTGTTCATAAAATCCATGTCTGAAGTCAGAACCATCTACAATAAAAAATTCCCCAGAGAAAACTGATTCTCTAAAAGCCCTAATCTAAACTTCGTGCAGTTTTAAATGTTCATGCCTGACTTTAAAAAAAAAAAAAAAAAAATCAGATCATTAATTAAAATATAGTGTTCAAATTAAAGAACAGTACACTTTGATCAAAAGTACACAAATAGGCTAAGGCATTCTAAATAGAGGCAGAGTTCAGATTTTTACTGTGCTCAATAGATCATTAGGCTGGATGGCCTTACCAAATTTACATCATAATCTGTTTCTTCTCTTCATTAAATGGAGATGACAATTACTTACCTTACAAGGGTCAACCTGAAAACAAGGTTAAAGCTTTAAAAAGGACAACTACCCTTTACTACCAGACTATCTACATTCAAATCCTTGATCAGGTTAAGTTTTTCAAACACTTAGTCAAACTGCTAACATTAGGCAAGATTATTCAAAGTTATCCTTAATGCTCTTTCTAGTAAACCTATGGAATACCTCTTCAGTATAAAAACTTAAGTTTAATCTGTTAATAGGTTTCATTTTTTAAAAGTGGGTCTCTGGCCTAAGCGGTATATGGGGCAGAGCAAAAAACAAACAAACAAGGGTGGTCCTAGCTGGTTTGGCTCAGTGGATAGAGCATCAATCTATGGACTGAAGGTTCAATTTCGGTCAAGGGCACATACCCAGGTTGTGGCTTGATCCCCAGTGTGGGGCGTGCAAGAAGCAACCAATCAATGATTCCCTCTCATCATTAATGTTTCTTTCTCTCCCTCTCCCTTCCTTTCTGAAATCAATAGAAATATTTTTTAAAAAGCCAAAGGATGCAAACCAGGTGTGAAGAGTAGGAAGGAGAAGGTAACAAGTACTCAGAGTGCTCAGCTCAGCATGTCAGCATCTCAGCAGGTGAGACAGGACATCCGTGCAGACGGACAGCGAGGGACCGGGCATTGGGCCCACAAGAATGAGGACGGCATCCATGTGGGGAGGAAGCAGCAGCTACAATAGGGAATCAAGAAATCAAGGTGTCCACATGGGGGGAGGGAAGGATAGGAAGATATGATTGTCCGTATCCAAAAAAAGGTAAGCACTTCTGTTTACATAGATGTGTTTTTTCCTCCCCCAGCTCTGTGTAATAGCAATAAGCATAATTAACATCTGGGTCTTGGCTTCTGAAAACCATTTTTCACTAAAAGAAACTAGGGCCTTTTAAAGAATAGCTGATTCCAAGGCTGGGAAAAGATGACAAATGGTAATATTTTCTTGTAGCAAAAAGCAAGGAAGTGTTCAAATAATGACTGGGAAATTCCTAAAGGACATAGAAACCAGTTTCAATGGATTCCCATTCCCATTGGCCAAAGCAGTAACAATTTGAACTTTAAAAATGAGGAAAGACATGTCAAGGGCATCAACAAAAATGGTGAAATATGGAATTCCAAAAACCTATCCCTCCACAAAAATGCCAAAATGTCAAGCACAATCTGTCAGAATTCTGAA